ATTAAGGTCACTTAATTGGGTAGTAATATCCACTGAAAAAGCTAGATCTTGGAGCCAGCATTCATCTTTCAATTTATCTATGCTTTGACCTTTCATCTCCAAAAACAATTTTGTGTTGCAATAAAAAATTTTTTTTCAGTAACTTGTGACATGAAAGCCACTGAACTTCTGTGTAGAAAGGGACTGATTATTCATGTCTTGTTGGCATAAACCAATGGCTTCTGTTACCAATTATAGGCATTTATTGGTAACAGAAGCCATTGGTTTATACCAACGGCTTCCCATACTTTATACTTCTCATTTTCACTCTCGCGTATTCATGTATGATGTCATGAGTTGAGGTGTGATTTTCGCTTCCAGCGTCTTATATACACAAGTTTGCCGTTGCTTGGAAATCTTCCATGTAAACAGAAACAGACTATCATCATTGTTTTGTCCGTGTATTGCCTAATATATTGTAATGTAATTGTCATCTTTGATAATGGCTTATGTAAGCCGAAAGCTTAGAGAGGATTAAAAAATATGTATCAATATCGTGATTTTCTTTCTTAGTTTAATGATAATGTTATTAAGCTTATCAGACAATATGAAAAGAATTTACATAAAATAAATAGAGAAACTTGTCTATATTATTTAATGAAACATGCATCAATATATATATATATATATATATATATATATATATATATATATATATATACTTTTAACATGCTTTTCTTTCTCAACAAGTCTAACACTTTCGCCCGAGCCCCTCAACTTCCGACATCTTACTCTCTGGGATGAGGTGTCTACTTGGTCCTAACTGAACTTAAGGGAGTGGCCGTAGGTCCCCTGAGCATCTGTAGATTATTCGACTGGTCTACTGGTTTAATCCTGCTTCCTGCCCACGTTATGTTTGGTTTCTTCCAGAAAGCAGAAGTGATGTTCATCCATTCATGGTCGACTGAAGATGTAGACACAGTTGGAGCGTCTGTGCTAAGAAATTTAGAATGCAGCAAAAACAAAAAAATATCTACAGAAAGCCGGACAAACAACTATTCAATGATTGAATTGTTCATGTCTTTTATATAGCAGAAAAGAAACAGGTTACAGAAAAGAAAAGTAAGTGACATAAAAATGCATACAATGGATTCTGGACAGAGAGAGAGTGTGTTATGATTAACTTGTTGTTAAATCATCTCAGAATGATATACGACTCTTGCAGTGGGGGAATAAGATTTCTGTGCACGGCTTAAAGTTTATAGTGGCATTCTTCCTTAGCAGTAGTAACAGTAGTAGTAATATTCATGGTAGCAGAGCAGCGGTACTTATATCAACAGCACATGTTAGCAGACGCTTCATACCAATCTCTGACGTCATGTTCTCTCCTTCTTGAGTCTCTGCTGTGGAGTGATTTCACAGTGGAGGCTTGTATTTGTACTAAGTCAGTCCTAAAATAGGTTCGATGTACAAAATGTTAGGAACTTGATATAATAGGTATAATGCAGAGTAATCTAGTTGTGGTCACTGATACTTTAGTATTCGACTGTTGTCCGACATCGACTGACTGACCGACTCATTACTCTTACTACTCCTACTTATTATAGGTGGGAGAGTCTATTAACTATAGAATAGGTGTGTTCTACCATGACAGTCTCTCTCTTCAGGAATTTTCTCCCGTCTCAACGCTCGTCCGTCTGTCTCTTCCGTCTCCCTGCTCGTCTGCGCCAATTCTCTCTCTTCAAGAAATTTCTCCTGTCTGCGTTGTTCCCCTGACTGCCTTTTGCAGCATAACTACACATTTATATAGAAAAATTCAGCTGGTTAATCTTTGAACCTTGGTTGCATTTTTGCATTAATATCAGGGTTTTGGCTGTTTCAACCAAAATCATGTGAATTTCAAAAAAAGTTCCTCTCTAGCTTACTCAGCTCTATTTCAATTTTTAATCGATAAAAATTATTTCGGCCATTTCCATCGTCTTCTGATGACACAGATTCAATGGGTACAATTTCTGGCCTAGATCAAATTTCCACATCAGTAAACAAAATGCTCTGATTTAATTTCACTATTCAAATCTATTCCAAGTTTTAATCAATAAAAATTATTTTGTTTATTAATCCATTGTCTACTAATGACCCAGTTCCAATGGGTACAGCTCATACCCTAGATCAGATTTCCCATCAGTAAATGAAATGCTTTGATCTAATTTCACTATTCAAGTCCAGTCCAATTTCACTAGAAAAAAAAAAAATATATGTGTGCGTGTTTTTCAGACTCTCTCTCCGTCACACAAGCAACTCATTGATATACAAATGTACTCAAATTTGAATAAATCTTATGCAACTGCACTACTGACATCAGTACAATTTAAGCGAAGACAAAAAATGTAAAATTAAATGAAAAGTGTAAGTAAATGCAGCAGTTTTTAACCCTCATGCAAAAAAAAAATATGATGTCTCAAAAAGACGTTTTTTCTCTTGACACTGCTATTATTTTAACTACCTTCACTCCTCTGAAATGTTTATTATTTTAAAAATCAATGATAGGATTGTAATAAGATCTAAATATATATATGAAAGTGAATTTATACATTTTCTTTGTTCTTGAGAATTTGAAACAAAAATAATAAACGCTATTTATTTATTAGATTGTTTATTTACACTATTATATTATTTATTGGAATGGTTGGCAAAACATCGGCTAATTGTAAATCGATTCAAACTTTATAAAATGGTAAATAAGGATTGCCTTATAATTGGTTCACATATTTTAATAATTTAGTAAATGTTTATAAATTTATAATTAAATTGAAAAATTGTTTTATTATTTCTTTTTATAAATTGGTAAATGATAAATATTGCATTAGTTTTTTTACAATTGTATTTGTTTTAAAATGTTTGTAAATCTGTAAAAAAAGTTTTGTATTTTTTTTTTATAATCTGACAAAATGGTTTTCCCTTTTACACTGCTATTAAAGAACTACCTTTTAAACTCCATTTTAATGTTTATTGTTTTAAAAATTAATGATAGGATTGTTTAATAAAACCTAAATATATGAAAGTGAATTTATACATTTTTAAAAGAATTGGAAACAAAAAAAATAAACACTACTTATTATATTTGTTTATTGGAATGGTTTTTAAAATATTTTTAATAATTGCTAAGTTTTAAACTTTATAAAATGGTAAATAAAAATTACATTTATTACATATTTTAATAATTTAATAAATATTTATAAATTTATGAATAAAAAATTGTTTTAATATTTCTTTATAAATTGGTAAATGGTAAAAATTGCATTTTTTTTAGTTTTAATAATTTTTTTATTAAACAAAGATGTTGTAAATATAAAATTATTCTTTTATAAATAAAACAATCTAATAGTGATTAATATTCTGTTGTAAATTATCCAAGAACAATGTATAAATTAAATTTTTATTATTTTTATAATTTATTACAATTCAAATCATCACTTTTTAAAACAATAAACATGGCTGAAGAAATGAAAAATATTAAAAAAATAGTGTTTTTTGAGAAAAATTGTCTTTAATGTTATAATAAAAATGACCTATTCTATTTTTAATTTGACTTCCCCATTATAATAAGTAAAAAGTAGCAAACTAGGTAGTTAAAAAGATCACTTTCAAAAGCTTTTATGCTAAAACACAACCGTTAGTCAAATATTAAAGTATCAACCAAAAACTAAAAAGATTACTTTTGCATCATTAATTATTTTATCAAATTCCTAATGTTTTTTATAAATTTATATAACCTTTTTAGGGAAAAATTTTTGAAATACAAGAATCCACTGTGAAAATACTCTTTTTTATTTAAACATTTCAAGTTTTTTTTTTTTTTTTTTTTGATTTATGAACTTCTGTCTATATCTCTGAAATGATAATTATGATTATATTAATTAATTATTCAAACCAATTGAAAATTCAACATATTCATCATATGTTTTTGAAGAAAATTACAATTCTAATCATCACTTTTTTCAAACAATAAACATGAATGAAGAATATTTTAAATGCAAAGTTAAAAAAAAATGGTGTCGTGAGAAAAACTGTCCTTTAGACATTTCAGTTTTTTGGGTTTTTTTTTTTGCATGCATAAACTTCTGTCTATATCTCTGAAATGAATTATTATGATTACTTACATTATTCAGACCGTTATCCTCATCTTCATTGCCATACTGATAACATTTTGGCCGTTGTATGCTCCTGCCCTTTTCAGGTGACTGGAATTTCGAACCGAACTTTTTATTTCGTACACTAGGGTAGATTGTTCTAGTTCCACATGCCATTGGTTAGATCCAGTGACTAGACCCAAAGAGTTGTTAGTTGAATACCAGACCATGGTAAACCAAACTTGTAGAGTTGAGATAAAGGGAAATAATTGAGACATCCGGAAGAGGCATAGCATATGGAACTAGAACAATCAACACTGGTGGACAAAAAAAAAAGTGTTAATTTTTGAAATTTCAATCACCAATCAAGCATACAACAGCCAAAACATTGTGAATATGGCAATTTAAGATAAATAATAATAGTCTGAATAATATATAAATAATGTATTTTTCTATTTTTACAAAAAATTTTTATCAAATTTTTTTATTAATTATAGACAGCCCAATTCTTCCACAGACAAAAAAAAAAGTTCACTCAGTCAAATTATCTTTTAATGAATGTTTTTTTTCAATGCTTATTTTAAAATAAAATGTAAAAAGTTCAATTTAAAAATAAAATTAAAATGAAATAGATCAAAAATACAAAGAACTTTTAATAGGTGGTGTAGGTGTGTGTTAATGGGGGGGTTGAATAAGTTTTTATCTCAAATATAAATATTTACATTAACAAGATATACAAACTCGACTCCTGGTTTTATTCTGTGTGTTTTTGTAATCGATCCAATGACCACTGAAAGAAATTTTTGTCTTTTCTTCAATTTCCATGATATTTGAAATAACAGTCATAAAATCATTTAAAAAAAGAATATTCTTTAAAAAAATTGTGTCAATTTATATGTACTCTTTATAAATATTTTTTTTTTGATGTTGGTCGTCCAAGTGCTTCCTAGAAAAGATGGTTTTTGATTTTATTTAAAATGGTAAACAGCATAAAAAAAGAAAAATGAATTGAAAATTTGGAACCGGAATAAATTAAAAAAATTTATTGCCCAAAAATTAAAACAAAAATCTAATTAGATCATGAAACAGAATTTAAAAAGTATTCTCAAATCTATCTTACAATGTTATTATAATGAGTAATTTTCAAAAATTTTAATTCTCTGTCCTTCTTTGGGTAAAATTCACACAAAATTATTATTATTATTATTAAAAATAGCATTTAGGAAAAAAAAAAAACTGCAAATCAATAAAAGTATAATATATTAGTTTATATTTTTTTATAAGAATTATAATAAAAAACATTTTTCTTCTTGATGGCAAACACACTTTTTAACTAAAAAGTACAATCAAAGTATTGAAACATAAAAATATTTTTTATAATTTTTTAAAAACGTTTTTATTATAAATTTATAATAAAAAATATAATAATAATATATTGCTTTAATTTGTATTGATGAAAATTTTTAAAAAACTTTACAAAATGGATGTTTATTCCATTTGTTTTTCTCTCATTTGAGATCATACATATAAAAGCACACCTTATATATATATATATATATATAAAAAATATAGTTTTATGGTGTGCTATATTTAAAACAAATAAAAGTTAAAATATCAGAGATAAAAATGTATCTAAATTAATAAAAATAATAGTGAATAATTGAAAAAAAATATAAGGCGACATGCTGATTCATTCTGGATGCAATCGTTAGGCTGCCTGACGATTGTGTCCAGCATGAAATTTTTTGAGCCATCCATTGAGTGTTAAATCAATGTCATCTATATATATATATATATATATATATATATATATATATATATATATTTTTTAGATGGATTGATGTGAATTTGAAAAATTTTTTCTGTTTGTTTATCAGACAAGAGTTTTGTGTGATTTTTTATCCATAGTTCAAAACCCAATTCACAAAACTATACATAATATTTAAAAAAAATTATCACTGATATTGACAAAAAAAGATAATAATTTAAATACAAATTTATATATATATATATATATATATATATATATATATATATATATATTAGTTAAACTTTTTTGGGACAAACCTACAAACAAAAAAAAATAAAATATATATATATCTAATTATTATAATATATATATTATTATTAGTAGTAATCTTATAAGTATAAGAAATTATATCAACTTGAAAAAATCAGTTTTTTGATTTTAAAAATTTCAATCAAACTAATACCAAAGGGGAAAAAGGTATAGAAAATGAAAAGAACCAAGAACATGTAAAAAAAAAATTAAAAAATAATCATCTAGCATGCAAGTCTAAAGCTGAAAAAAAAAAAAAAATAAAAATAAAATAAAAAAATAACTAAATAAAGTGCTCAATACAGTAAGTAGAGAGATAATGAGTTAAAGATCACCAGAATTTTTACAAAATTTTCTACCTTTTAAAAATCTATATATATATATATATATATATATATATATATATATATATATATATATTTATGCAGAATTTTATATTTTTTTGATAAGATTTTTTTTTATATCTGTATGTAAACCTAAAATAAGTCATAAATTTTTTTATAAATTTGCTCTATTAATAGGGAGAGTCTATTTTTTTTTTTAATTGAAGCATTTGTTGTATATTTGTATATTGAGATTTGAAGTAGTCAAATTTATGTATTTTTTACCCCCTTAGTTTTTCAACTAGGTTGTCTGAATTTTTAATCCTTTCATATCAATTTGGGCAACCTAGTCAAAAACTGGAAGTAGGATAAAACATGAAATTTTTGTGGTAGGGTTAGATATCATCAACCTGAAACCTTAAAAAAAAAAAATAAAAATATATATATATATATATATATATATATATATATATATATATATATTCATATATATATACTCTTTCAACATGTTTTTCTTTCTCAACAAGCAGTTCATTGATATACAAATGTACTGAAATTTGAATAAATCTTACGCAATTGCTCTACTAACATCAGCAAAGACAAAAAAAAGAAAATTAAATGAAAAGACTAAGTAAATATGTCAGTTTTTAACCCTTGTGCCTGCAAAAATATGGTGTGTCAAAAGGATGGTTTTTCCCTTGACACTGCTATTATTTTAACTACCTTCACTCCTCAGCAATGTTTATTGTTTCAAAAAGTGATGATTAGAATTGTAAAAAAACCTAGTGAATTTATACATTTTCATTGTTCTTGAGAATCGTCAACAAAAATAAACACTATTTATTTATTAGATTATTTATTGTTTTAAAAAAGCAATGATTAGAATTTTGATGAAACCTAAACATATGAAAGTGAATTTATACATTTTCTTTGTTCTTCAGAATTTACAACAAAAATAATAAACCCTATTTATTTATTAGATTGTTTATTTACACTATTATATTGCTTATTGGAATGGTTGGCAAAACATTGGCTAATTGCCAATTGTTTCAAACTTTATAAAATGGTAAATAATAATAAGGATTTCTCTTACAGTTGGTTCAGATATTTTAATAATTTAGTAAATGTTTATAAATTTATGAATAAAAAATGTTTTCATATTTAAATCTTTATAAATTGGTAAATGATAAATATTTCATTAGTCTTAATACAATTGTATTAGTTTTTAGAATGTTGTAAATATAAAATTATTCTTGTAAATAAACAATCTAATATTGTTTAATATTTTTGTTATCAACTGATTAATATTTTTGTTGGAAATTCTCAAGAAGAAAAAAAATGTATAAATTCACTTTCATCATATATTTAGGATTTATTACAATTCTAATAATATCTTTTTAAAACAACATACATTGCCAGGAATGTTTATTGTTTAAAAAGCGATGATTACAATCAGAATAAAACCTGAACACATGAAAGCGAATTTATACATTTTCTTTGTTCTTGAGAATTAACAAAAATAATAAACACTATTTATTTATTACATTGTTTATTTATACTATTGATTTATTTGAAGATTTTATTGGTGGTACAAAACTTAATAACCGTCAAGTAGACAAAATTTGTTTTTATTACCAATCATGTTTACAATTAAAAGGAAAAAATGAAAAACGAGAGCTAGCTGGTTTCAAACCTTGCTCAACAGAGTGAAATTGAGGTTAATAAAGGCATATAATCATTAATAAAAAGATGGACAATATGTAGAGGGGGGGATTCTTAAATGGAAATTAATTGGAGGCCCAGGAGAAAATCCTTCTGTTTACATAATGAAGGTTACAAGGAAGAAATATATATGTAAACAGAAAGATTTTCTCCTGGACCTCCAATTAATTTCCATTTAAGAATTTTTCTCTACATATTGTCTATCTTTTTATTAATGATTATATGCCTTTATTAATCTCGATTTAGCTCTCTGTTGAGTGAGGTTCAAAACCAGTTAACTAGCTTATTTTTTAGTTTTTCCTTTTAATTGTTATCGTGAGTGGCAATGAACGTAAATTTTGTCCATTCATGGCAGTTATTTATTATATTATTTATTGAAATGGTTGCCAAAACATTTGCTAACTGATTAGAACTTGATAAAATGGTATATAAGGATTTCTTTATAGTTGGTTCATATATTTTAATAATTTAATAAATGGTTATTGTTGTAGCATACCTACAGACGATAATGGGTATGTCCTCATTCACATAAATACTGTATGTTGGTCTGCAGTCGGAGATTCGACTTCAGCAGTGCTGGTCAAACACTGTCTCCAAGCAGAGAGGATCCCCAGACGAGGCTCTGTCGAAGGGCAACAACTACTTGACCCTTTATATGGTGTCTATGGGAAATTTTTTGCTGAGCATACAGGCTTGGATACCCTACATTAAATTCGGTCTTGTGCCACATCTGATCGCATGGGGCGGTTGGTAGATATCCTGCAGTTAGAGATTCATTGTAGAACTCACTTGACTCACATCTAGCAGTTGACTACTTCTTCTATGCGCTGTTAACGAATCTTATATGTGTTGTTCTTGTCCTAAGTATTATCGTTCATTACCAACCTTTATGTGATTATTCTATTCAGTAACCTTCCCTAGATTACAACAGTTATAAATTTATGAATAAAATATTGTATTAGTTTTTAGAATGTTGTAAATATAAAATTATTCTTGTAAATAAACTTAATAGCGTTTAATATTAATTCTCAAGAACAAAAAAAAAAGTGTAAATTCATTTTCATGTATTTAATTTTTATTCCAGTTGTAATCATCGCTTTTTTTAAAAAAAACAAACATTACCAAAGAGTGAAGATGGTTAAAATAACAGCAGTGTCAAAGGAAAAACTGTCCTTTTGACACACTTTTTTTTGTGGGCATGAAGGTTAAAGGTTTTTAATGTTTCCTGTTTAGGATTGGGTTTCCAGTTGCTTCTAAAGTTTCCTCATTCTCTTTCACACTCATTAGCCCATTGCGTCTTAGTGGCATTATCGCCTTGCTTGGTGGTGAATTAATTATAAAAGAACAGATGCCTATAAGACGAATCAAGAATTTGTATTAGTCAAAGAAATGGGACTTTTGTTTGGTGCCATTTCAAGGAAAATTTATTAAAATGTCTGCTTGAAGCAAACAAGCAGATTTACCGATTCACTTACGATATATAATTGCCATCTCCCCTTGTTCTTTACTGACAATTATTAACTCAACTGTCATTCCAGGTGGACATAGACATATTTTTGACACTTTTCCTATTCTATCAATGCCAAATATTTAGTCATTATGTTTTATGTATTATGTATAGCCAAAATAAGAGGTGTGAGCGGGAAGCCATTCTAAAAATGATATTTGTTAATAAAAGGAATTACAATTCCGTAACCTACTAGGGTTATCATGGCAACATGTGTACTGCAGCAGTGTATGTGCCTCAGATAGGATTTCCTCACAAAACGCATTTTTTCAGGCCTGTTTAGAATTGTCTTTCTTCCCCAAACAGGTTGCTAAAAAAAAAAAAAAAAAAAAAAACAAACAGCTGCCCAATTATTTATGAGAGTCTGAACTCAGTTTTCCTTCTCCTAAGCTGGCTGTCAACCAAGGCAAGAGATTGCTTTTTTAAAAAAAAAAAAAAAAAAAAAAAAAAGCTTATCACAGCCCTTTATGGGTTCAGTTACTTAAAGACAAAATGTATTTTGGATTGTAAGAACAATTCATTTTTCGCCTGTGTTTTGTGATATCAACAAACATCCATTGCCACTTTTGTAATGTCAATGAATACTTGTTGTCACTTTCGTAATGCTCGTTGTAGTAGAGACTTTGTACTCATAGATGCAATTATAGTAATGCCGGTGAACAATACAGGTGTCAGATGCCTTCGAATAACACTCGCACTAATAGTACTTACTTGATAATACTTGCTTGAATAGTAATCCATATAGTGATCAGTATAGAGAAATAATATAGTGAATAGTATAGAGATAGAGGATAGTGTAGAAAGAGTGATCCGTATAGTAATAGAGGATAGAATAGAAATGATGATCCATTAGATGCCACACTAATTCCCCAATATACATTTCCTTTGTGATCACATGGTCTTTAGAAATGGAATCACCTGTGTTTGCTCACTGGTGATCTGTGTTCAAACTCTAGTGTCAGTAGTGACACTTTATTCCTATATAACATTGTGAATATTGCATCCATTTTTGGGAAATAATGATTTTTCCAGAGACAACTATTTAATCCATACCGAGGGCGAAGAAGATTGATTCACACATTTTCCAAGAGTATTAGTGCAAAAGTGAATGTAATAAACCTGAATGGAATTCTAACTTGGCTATCTGGTTTCTTGTTCTGAGCCACTATTCATTACACCATCAAGACAAGAGAGCTCAGGTTTAGTTGGAATCATGCCTTTTCTAAGGGCTCTAGTTTGGACTGAACAAAATAGGGTTGGTCAGAATTCCATTTTCAGCTAATCAGTTATAAAAGAAAAAAGACAGTTAATACTTGTAAAAAGGCTTATAAAGTTTTGGAAATAGTAATTTTTTTTCAGGTACAACTGATACTATTTAACCCATAGATGGGGGAAGAGGATGAATTCATGGGAAAAGGCTTATAAATGTGTATTTATAAAAAAATAAACAGATGAAGATGAACATACCTTATGGCTTGAAGGGTAGGAATAGTTTCCTCTGTATATGTGTCGCATAAAATATCAGTGTTACATAAACTGAAAACGAAAATGAAAAAATTACTTTCAAACAAAGAGATTCAAGAAATACATATATTATTATTATGTAGGTGAGGAGAGTTCATCTTAAAAATTTATAATTCTACCACTCGTCCATGCATTGAATATTGCTGCCATAACTAGTCTGGTGCTTCTGCTATGTGTTTAGAGATTTTTGAGCAAGTCCCAAGAATCTGCAATATTATCAGTCCTGAACTGGCATCTCGACTTCAGTCATTTTTGCATCATAATTTCCCTGTGCCTTTTCTATAAATATTTTCATGGTAATTGTTCTAATGAGCTTACTGTTTTGTTACCTCAATTTTACAAATTTAAGTGCAGTACTAAATTGGCAGCTAGGTCTCATCATTTGAATTGGCTGGATGTAACCGTTAGTTCTATGCTAACAGTTTTTTTCTCTCACATTTCTTCCAGCTTCTTGCTTTCCAGTCAACTTTGATCTTTAAAAATTTAAATTCAATGTCAATTGTTATCAAATGTCTTTTTAATTACTGTTCATTTACTATTCTCACTCTTTGATAATCTTTTTTGTTGTTGTAATGGAATGTCCCACACTCCCTATCGCCTATTGTGGACTGATTATATCAGTAGATATATATAGTGTGCACAGGATATACCTGGCGGACTTGCTTTGGCAATTAGTTGGAGATTCATCTCCAGCTGTGCTGGTCGAACTCTCTACCTTCGGGCAGAGAGGAACCCAGATGAGGCTATGCCAAAGGGCAATCTCTTGTCTTGGGTGGTAGACAGCTATGGGGAATTTTTGCCCGAGCCTAAAGGCTCGGTTTTGCCTTGCATTAAAAATACAGCCTTGTGCTGCATCCTGCCTCATGGGGAGGTAAGGTAAACATCGTTGCTTTGGGAATTACTAGCTTGCTACTCGATTCCCTGTTTTTCAGTAGTGTATTCTCTTTTACAATAAACCTCTCTTTCTTTCATCTATGCCTGTGTTGCTGTTCCTTTCACTCAAGTACCACATTTGTCTGTTTGCAACCTTCTTTAAAGATACAACATTCTTTTGCTCATATTCTTTCACCCACAGTAACCTCTTCTGTCTTAGTGGCTTTATTGCCTTGCTTGTGGTGAAATTAATAAAAAAGTAAAAAAGAATTGAAATCCTGTGATAATGAAGTTCATTTTGATATGCTTTGTGCGCTTTTACTATTAAATCTGTTGTAGCTAAAGGAGAATAGGCAAATTTTTTGACTAATTCTCATAGAACAAGAGAGAGAATGTGAAAGACTAGATTTGGAATCCAAAGACCTTTGTATTCATTTTGGTAGACTTTGAATATGTCTATTAAATCCACTGTAATTAAAGAACAGACATTACTTTTAGATCTACCGTCTCATGTTAAGATATGTACAAATCAATTAATACATAAATTACTTAATTATAATTATTTCAAATCCTCCTAATTTCTATCACTTGTATATCCTTGCTTGAACCGGCTTCTAATGCTCTGGATGGAGCGGCTTGGTGATAGTAGTCGTGGCTCATGGGGGCACAGTCCTATGGGTAAAAGAGAAACTCAGATGAGTTCCACCACAGAATATGTTATCGTGCAGCACCATATTGAGCCTGATTTGCTACCTCATAGTCAACGATGCTAGTTAAAACAGTTGCTATGACGTCTGCCTGATATCGTAACTGTCGGGGTTTCAATTCTCAGTAGTGGATGCGCACTGCTGATGAGTCCCAAATATAGGACGAAACAATCGTCCAGTGCTTTCTGCATTCTGTTGAGGTTTCTTCTAGACTCGACGAATTACTTAATTATAATTATCTCAAATCCTCCTAATTTCTATCACTCATAAATATATATGTACTTTCTCATACATATACCTGTCAGTGGGGCCAAGACATTAATTGTTGTTCTCTGTGTGACCCTTTAAGGATACTCTCTGTGTTGTGCAAGTCTAAAAACTCTTGGGTGGCAGCCACCTTCTCTTCCTTCAAGGAGCTTGTCAACATTCTATGAACCCACTTTTCAGACATCTGAATAGCCAAGAGACAGCACTAAACTACAGACACTATCATGGTCTCCTAGAAGGCTTTTACAAACTTGTAGTAGTGATTCTTGTATCATCTGCAATGAGAAAATCATCTTGTTTAGATGAGTCATTGCATCAACTGGTCTATCACGAAGATCAGTTCCTTCTTTCTAAGATGGTCATTATCTCTACTGATCCTTCTCCTTACTGTGTAACCTTTCCATAAATATTTGCTTACCTTCTGTGGATGTTTGCAGCACTTTCTCCTTTCAAAAACAGAAATTATATGACAGCTCTTTGCTTACTATGTATGCCCAGAGGGGGCAGTCATTTTGAAATAGGATTATGAAAAGAGAATTTATTGGTTGATTGATTTTCTGACATATCAACTAGCCTTGTTAACCATTACTCCATGCCAAGGTTTTTATTTAGTTAAGTTGGTTGATTTTATAACATATCAACCCTTGTTGGGTTATGTACTGTTGAGTTTTGTATTGGGCACCCAGTGAGGATCAAACTCACCACTCAGTAGTAATGGTCAAGCAGACTAACCTCGTTAACCAGTACACCATACCAAAGTACTTATTTGGTTAGGCTGGTTGATTTTACAATATGACAATCCTTCTTGGGTTATTCAATATCAAATTTTGTGTGGTGGCACATAGTGAGAATCAAACTCACTACTCTGTCGCAATGGTCAATCAGATTATACTAGCTAACCATTACCCCATACCGAGATGCCTATTTAGTTAGATTGGTTGATATTTAAACGTGTTTTGTTGGGTTATTTAATCTTGAATTTTGTCTGGGGAGCCCAGAGAGGATTAAGCTAATGATTAAGTAGTAATTATCAACAAGATTAACTTTGCTAACCATCACGTCATGCTGAGGTGCCCTATGAATGGAGAAGGTAATCCCACAAATCTTTCCCGCAGATCTTCATATGATTTTCGGGTTTATAGCTAAAGAACCCCTTGAAATTTTGATTAATACTTTAAAATGAGAACAGACATTTTTTAGGGATTTTTTTTTACCAAGCCTTACATTTATTCATGAAATGTGCATCTAAATGAGACTAATTTGTTTTTTAAGTGAAAAAAAATATATACAAGAATGCATTATCACTGATGGTTTTATTGACTGATTTATATTTTATGGCTTATCAACCCTTTTGCAAGTTATTTAAAGCCAGAAAATATTTTTGGATTGTAAGAATTTTGGGGGAATAATAATAATTTAGTAATATAAGTTTTAGTAATTAACCCATAGATGGGGGGAGAAGAGGTGGGTTAATACTTTTCCCAAAGGTATTTGCATTAATTGAATATAATGAACCCAACTGGAATTGTAACTCAGCTCTCCGATTAACAATATTATTCTCCGTTATCCATATTACCACACACTCATCTAAGATTACAGAACCTGGTATTCTCAAGTCACCCATCTTAGTTCTGACCAGGCTTGATGTTGCTTAACTTTGGTGATTGTACAGGAACCAGTGTTTCAACATGATTTAGTCGTTAGCCATTATCACCGATGGGTAATTGACAATCTCCCTCCCAACAACAAATGCAAACAAATAAAAAAAAAAAAAGAATGACCTTAAAAAAATAAAAATAAAAAAACCCAAAAAACTTACACCAACTTTGAATGTAGTGTTTTGTTGTAGGCTTCAAGATAAGGACAAGAAATGTTCTTGACATCTTCCTGTAGCTTGAGTTTTTTTTCACAGATTTTCTCCAAGAGTGCCAAACATTGTTTCAGATTCTTTTAGAGAGAGAAAGAGAGAGAGAAAAAAAAAGCATTAAATTAAAATCTATATTATGAAAAAAAGAGCTAACTTTCTGCCCATTACACACTGCCCGTGTGTAATCTATATACATGGCTTCCTTTTACCTGTGTTTGTGCCATTTAATGTACACAAAAGCTCTGGTAAGTCAATCAAACATAATTTGCCAGTTTCAAATAAGACATTAGAATAATACATTTCCCTCCCACACAGTCTGGACCCTGGGCTGGGCAATGAAATCATAAATTTGGAGACAAAAAAAAAAAAAAAAAAGAAGCTTAATGCCCTCAAACTGCCTCTTTGCTTACTTGTTCTTATGGCTATGAAATAAACGAATAAAAATAAGCATCTTTTATATCTGTCTATATTTCTGAGACGAGGTATTGTAAATATTTACATGGTTCAGACTGTTGTCCTCATGTTTATTCAAGCCATTTTGGCCATTGTACACTCCGGCCTTCTTCAGGTGATTGGAACTTTGAACTGAACCCTGAACACATGGCTCAGTGGATAAAAGCGTCGGTTGAAGTAATCCAGTGACTTCACTCAAAGAGTTGTGAGTTCAATATCTGGCCACAGCAGAGGTGAACAAAAACTTGGAGCGTTGAGTAAAGGGAAATAACTAAGACATCCAGAAGAGGCATAGCGCGTGGAACTAGAACAATCTACCCCAGTGGATAAAATAAAGAGTATAGTTTGAAATTCCACTGTAGAAGTCCGGAGCATACAACAATCGAAATGTCATGAATATAACAACAAAGATGAGGACAACAGTCTGAACAATGTAAATAGCTCTTAGGTCATCAGGCTGACATCCGGTGTCTTAACATAGTTGGTTAATGTAGGTGGTTGTTGGGCAACCAACCAGTCTTGCTCTATGGCTAGGTGTCCAGAAAAGTAGATCAGTCACGAGTTCTTGTTTTGCTTACCAGCAATATCCTGCAAAGCACATTTTGCATTCATGTAAGATTGTAGAAATATCAGGGATGGGTTCACATGATTTGGTTAGATGTTGTCTCCAAGAGATGTTAAATATAGCTCTCAGCATTTGAGTCTAGGTTCCATCAAGCTTAGACTTTGGGGTTTTAGTCAATATCTAAGCAGTGACCTTCCCATCTTGATGCAGGACTGTGATAGTTGTCATGATAGACTAATGAACGTTCAAACTACTTCGACCGAATAATAATAATAAAAAAAAATATTTCTCTTACCAACAGTGAGAAAGCTTTAGTATCTCATCATAATTTACTTTTTCTGTTTATTAAATCAAATTGAAATAAACATCTGTATTATGAGGGCTAATTTCCCTTTCTGTCTTTCAGTAAACCTTTGAGTAACAAGAAACAAGTATATGCAGCAATGTGCACCATTTGAAGTCATTTTTATAACTCTTTTCATATTTAAAGTGGATATATGTTCTAATAAAGATAGTATTTTAAACAGCCAAACAATTTAAATTGGAAATTTGCCATCAGCAAAGTGACAGTTACCAAACTCGTCTCATAAATGCCACTTTAAATAAATGACTTTAGTATTTAAACTGAATATATTTTCTAATAAATGTAATATTTTAAATAGACAATTTGGTTTTGAAATTTGATCATCTTACCATCAGCAAAGTGATGTTAATCAAACTAGTCTCATAAATGCCACTTTAAATAAATGACTTTTGTATTTCAACTGAATATATTTTCTAATAAATGTAGTATCTTAAATATACAATTTAGATTTGAAATTTGATCACCTTGCCATTGGCAAATCAATGAATCCAAACTGGCAATTTTAATATATAATATACGGAGTTCATTTGGGTTTTTTTTGCTTGTAATTTCTCTGAACTTTTGTTATATTAATTACTAGCAGTAGAGCCCGGCGTTGCCCAGGGATGTAACAGTAAGAGATAGATCAAGTATCGACCATCATAAAGACTGAAAAATAAAATTGACAAAGATTATTGTTTAAGGTTGACGATCACGCATGTCTTAATTAGTTTTTTTTTTTTTTTTTATGAATTGGTCAAACCCAAACTCAAACAAAAACATTGTTTTCAATCGTTATGAGTCTACCAATTGAATAGAATTTTATTATAAAGAATTGTCTTGTAAATGGAATTTTTAAAGCATTCTGAATATAAAAAAAAGAAAAAAAGTGTGCAAGAAAATAAGAAACACTACCTGCCAAAAAAAAAAAAGTGAAGTTTTGTTGAAATCGGTTGAAAAATGTAGGAAATCCGATCCCATATATAAACGAACACACTCACACAAACAACCTGAGTTTTATAGTAAGTATAACAAGATATGAGTTGTCCCCCTTTCATTTTCGCAACAGCAATGCCTCTTAATCGTGTTTTCAAATTGATTTCGTACAAAAACAATTGTGTTTTTCCAATTTTTGGCGCTGTCAGAACCACTGCAAGGTAATTTTACGTAGTCCTGTGAAGTTTTGTTGAAATCGGTTGAAGGAAATCTGATCCAATATATAAATGAACAGACACACACACACAACCTGGGTTTTATAATAAGTATGATCTTCCTTACATTGGGGACGCCAGTTGACGGAGTCTTTGTTCTGAAAATGGCAGACTGTTCCAAGACATATACTAAGCCAGGATATGAAAAGCAACTCCATGAAAGTGCAGTATACAATAAAAATGAATATATTTAAATGACTGCATGAATAAAATGCTATAATAATAATAATAATGCTATAAAAATAAGCATATTTTATGCAACTGCCTTTCATTTCATTTACATAGAACTTCAGGAAGTTTTTAAAAAATGAAAAACGAAAAATTGTTTTGACCATTCTAGAAATGTGAAAACCAAGAAACAATTACATTTTTGATAAGCAACTGAAGATTTTAACAGCATTCACGTTACTTAATTTTTGTGTTGAATCAAATAAATAGAAAAGAAAGGCATTTCAATGTAAGTCAACTAGTAGAACTGGTAGAATTCTTGAATACAGTATTAAATAGTGTATTTAGTAACTCTTTTTGTTTAATTTTACATTTTTCTTATTTGAGTTGCTGAAGCCACAATAATGTCAGATTTCATCAAATACAGTCACCTGTAAATGAGTGGCTTACAAAAACAAAAAAAAAAGAAGCATTGCATTGAGGATGAAATGTGGTATTATTTTTAATTTTCCATTTGAATAAATTGAAGATGAAATAAAAAGGTTTGAATTTACTTATTTCAAGTCGTTTTTGTTCTAGTGAGACAAACTTGTGGGAAACATTAGACCATTCTGAGATGCCCAAATGGTGATTTTTTAAGATAGCTTAGAAATGGCACAAGGCCAAAAGGAAGGCACTCAGCAAGGATTGAACTTACTATTCAGTTAAATTGTTCTAGTGAGACAAACTTGCTAAACATTAGACCATGCTGAGATGCCCAAATGGTGATTTTTTTAAGATAGCTTAGACATGGCACAAGGCCAAAAGTATGGGGCACTCAGCAAGGATTGAACTTACTATTCAGTCGTAATTGTTCTAGTGAGACAAACTTGCTAAACATTAGACCATGCTGAGATGCCCAAATGGTGATTTTTTTAAGATAGCTTAGACATGGCACAAGGCCAAAAGTATGGGGCACTCAGCAAGGATTGAACTTAGGCAGTCAAAAACTTATTAGAGCAAAGATGCCATTAAATGGTGATTTTCTGAGTAGCTTAACGTGGCAAGGTTTTATTATTCACTCAGCAAGAATTGAACTTTAAAGTTCAGTATGAATTGTTCTAGTGAGAAAATTGCTAAACATTAGACCATGCTGAGATGCCCAAATGGTGATTTTTTAAGATAGCTTAGACATGGCACAAGGCCAAAAGTATGGGGCACTCAGCAAGGATTGAACTTACTATTCAGTCGTAATTGTTCTAGTGAGACAAACTTGCTAAACATTAGAGCATGCTGAGATGCCCAAATGGTGATTTTCTAAGAGTAGCTTAGACGTGGCACAAGGCCAAAAGTATGGGGGCACCCAGTGAAGATCAAAGTGCTATCCAAAAAAAGAAAAGAGAGAGACTTATCCCCTCAATTTTTGGTGAGCTCATCATATCATGGCTTACAAATTATGCAAATCAATTTTCAAAGAAACTCATTCAGGCAATAATTTTAAAATATAAGGCAGAGAAATAGTTGAAAAACAAATCATACTAGCAAATAATCTGTAATGATCATGTGCGGAAACTTCCTCAAACTGCGTGTGTGTGTTGTCGCCGGGCACACCTTCGAATACCATAATGGACTTGACCGAGGACTACAAGAAGACGCGAGTCGTTTGGGGTCTTTTCTTGGGAGACACAAGAAGGCGTTCGTTTTTGTGTTGCAAAAAGCCCCCCCCCACCGTTTTCTCGCACATAATCTGTTATGGGGTCCAACCATTTTTCATATAAGTGGACTTGACCAAAGTGTTACTTGGACTGCTGCCGTTAAATACCCAGAGTTAGACAGTCAGAGAGTGAGTATAGAGAGAGAGAGAGAGAAGACTGAGATTGTGATTGAGTTGGAGGTAGAGTAATAGTGTGAGGTAACCGCTTGTAGAAGTCAGTTACAAGCACATAGACTATAAGGAAGTCCTACTTCAAGACTGTATATATATCTATATGTTATTGCTACTAACCGTGTTCCTGGATTCACTAATAGTATTACCCTTTGTATTATTGTGTAAATACATTTAATTTCTTATCTTTAATTCTTGCATTTGCCATTTATTGGAGAACAAATTTCATCTCAGAATCCACAACATAATCAATATTTAATCCACTGAACCCATATGAGTGATTTAATTATTGAAGTATTTGTCAACCAAGAAGATTGTGTACCTCAGTTTCAGTGTGCCCATTAGCTTGAAACAGTATTTATGTAATGGAATAACCTGTCACCCCCATGAGTGACTACACTATAGGTAGTAACTACCTATAAGTATCTGTAAGTCAATGGACTACAGAGACTAGGTGGGACCTGTTGAGTACGACTCAGACTTATACAAGAACTACTGACCTTCCAATAGTAGCACTCACTACTGGATTGACTAGCGATGACCTTGTCCATAACTGTTACCTTTATTCTTATTGTACAGGTTTTTTTTTTACAATAAACCTTTACTTATTTTATCCATCTTGTTTTTCAAGTATATATAACAGTTATGCACAGCTAGTCTCTGTAGTCCGTTGACTTACAGAGACTTATAGGTAGTTACTACCTTATAGTGTAGTCACTCATTACATCACATTGCTTAAAAATGCGTTGCTTTACCCCACCGCTCTCAAATTTTTGGAATTCAGTCTTGAACCTTTTGAATTGTTGCCATTTTGGCAAAATCTGGTTTGTTCAATGACAGCATAAATGAAAGTCATGAACCGTTACGTTGAAATATATCAGACTGTTGCGTTATAGAAAAGATTAATTCAAACAAATTATTTTTGCTATAACTCTCTATGATAAAGAGAAAAAAGATCAATTCTGTTTAGCAAACAAGAACAATGTTCTTTTTGTAGTTAAAGGAGTGTATTCTCCAATAATTCGAAAAAAGAAAGGAAAATGGGGGGAAAAGAAAAAGAAAAAAGAAGAAAAAAGAAAAAGAAAAAAGAAGAAAAAAGAAAAAGAAAAAAAGAAAATTAATTTTTTTTAAATCAATAGTAGAGTAATGAATTGGTGATCAAGAGGTCAATCTAAAGTAAAATTTATGACACTGATCAAAAACTTAAGAAAAAAATGAAACATTTAACTTAGATAAACAGTCAAATGCTTCTAAAATCTAGTACAGAATGCTAGTTAATTTCTACGAATTTCTGATGCTTGAAAAGAAGATTTTTAGCAAAATGGCAAAGTTTCTTTGCATTACAAGCAATGTCCTTCCCATTGCTAAATTCAAAAAGGCTTTTTAAAGATCTAGGTTATTGCCCTTCTCCTTGCATGAATAAAAGGGGGAAAAAATGTTAATCCTAACTGACTACATTTCCGTAGCTTAGCAACATGACATCTTGGCACGTGTTGTTCAGTTTCGGTCTAATGGATGTGTTTCCCCTTCCATAACTGGGTAAATGGATGATAATGTACAGCACTTAGGCGGAAAAACTGTGCCAAAAAATAACTCAGACATTTAGACGGGTTATGTTGCCAGGAAGAAAAAAAAAAAAATCCTGCCAGTAACTGACCTGGTGGCTTTCCTGTTTTAAAAGTTTGCACTGTTTTTTGGCCTGCTCCAGTTGTAACTCTTCTTGCTCCACCTGCTGGAAATGTGTCTCAACAAGGGCAGGTAACTGGCATGCTTTGGCATGATTCAGATTTTCGTTATCTGTAAATAAACAATTTTTAAATTAGTCAGTGGCAATATTTTTTTTACATTTTTAATGTAATAATATTTATGTTTAAAAATACCTATTTTCAAAAGAGAAAAAATTGATAAAATTATCAAGAATCATTGACAGTAAGAAAAGCTGTAGATTTAAATAAAGAGTTCAGTTTGAAATTCTTTGTAGGTTAGCTGGATTGATATACATTTAATGAAGGAAAAATGCACAATGGCCAAAACTATGTGATAACAGCAGCAAAAACAACAGTAGAAATAGTGTAAATAGTGATTTACTAAGTAAAGCTCAGATGTGGTACAATGCAATGTAAATAGTGTAAATAAATAATGGTGAAAACATCGTGTAAAGAATGGGCAAATTCATTCGGCAGAGATTGATTCAAAGACTCTCATACTATTTAAAAATGTTAAATTTAGGAAACTAACCTTTATCGTATCTCTTTTTTTTCTTTACTTTTAAAATTCTAAGAGTTCAAATATTATGTTTTAGTTTTTATATATAATTAAAGTGGAAGTAATCATAAAAGGAAAATTAATTTTCTCATTTTTTTTTTCCTCATTTAGTGTGCACACCTATACAAATTTTTCTTGCCATTTAATGGTTAGAAACAACTTATAGTGTCTGTATTTGTATTTCTACTATTTTATAAGGACACCAAGTTCATTTTTTTTTATGAACATATCTAAAATGATGAAAAAATAACAGATATTATTCTAAAATGCATTTAATAAGGTATCAAGCAACAAAATAAGTTAAAAAAGGAGGGAGTCAAATTATTTTCAGTCAACTTTGATCTTCAAAGATTCAAGGTTTTGTCTTGATTTATTATTTTATATATATAGATTTATTATATATATATATATATATATATATATATATATATATATATATATATATATATATATATATATATATATATATATATATATATATATATATCAACAAATTTGTGCAACAAAAGCAACACTATTTTCTTTATTAACTTTTATTGAACAAAAATAAATTACTGTATTTTAAGAAAATTTAAGTGTTGTCACATCAAAACAACATGATTTATGATTGACAAACAATTTAACATTTTCAAAATGCTCTCCCTTCAGGTTCAATACAATGCTGAACCCAACCAGCAACACTTCTACAAACCATTTGACATATTTCTACATTAATTTCAGAAAATTTATCATAAATTGCTTGTTTTAATTCTGGAATTGTTTTTGTTTTGAGCCTATAAACAAGATCTTTCAGAACACCTCACAAGAGGAAGTCTGTTGGTTTTAAGTCTAGTAATTATGATGGACACTCAATTGCTCCACATCGTCCTATCCACCTCAGCTCAAAATTAAGATTTAACCATTCCCAAATGTATAAGCCATAATTAATCTTCAGCTCATTCATGTTGTGACAGCCATTACTGGTGTTGTTTGCATATATTTGTAGTTCCGAGTTCAATACCTGGCTACTGCAGTAATGAACAAAAAATTGGAGGGTTGAGTTACTAAAGGGAAATAACTGAGACAGAGACATCCAGAAAAGGCATGGCATGTGGAACTAGAACAATCTACCCCAGTGGATGAAACAAAGGATGCATTTCAAAATTCCAATGTATATCACCTAAAGAAAGCCAGAGTGTACAACGGCCAAAACGTATTGAATATGATAATAAAAATGAGGAGAAACTCTCTTACCTTTGTCTTGAAGGGTTTTTAATATTATTTTGTGTCAGATCATTTAATATGTTCTCTGAATATTTCCCCATTATGACATTTCATTAAAACTATGGACTTTGAGAATTCTGATTTATTTTCCTGAAATGAGCGACTGACACGACTTCAAAGGTGTAAATATGTGAATAAATTCCTTGTTTTATTAAAATTACACATTTCGTTATTATCATCGTTTATGAAAATTTTTGGCATAGGTAAATCAACTGTTCATTTTAACCCTAAGCCTCATGATTTATTTATTCTGATCAGTGTGTAACTTCAAAATTGATTTTTTTTTATTTGAGCTCTTCTTGGCTGAATTCCAACCCTTGAAAGAATAAAAAATTAAATTTCTATTTTAATTTTTAACCTTACTTATTTTTATTCTATTATTTTTTTTTAATTAAACAAAAAAAAAAAAAAAAATGTCTTATAAATCTGAAAAAAGTTTTCGAAGACAACACAACTCTGAAAGCAATGGATATTTTTAAAAAAGCAAGACAACACTGAAAAAGAAAAAAAAAAATTTGTTTTGAAAGCAATTCAACTTTAACCAAAAAAAACAAAAACAAAAAAAAAAACAATTGTTTGACCTTAAATGATCTCATAAAAATTGATAGGTCATTAAACATTAAACAAACAAATATAAATCTGAATAACTCATTTAAACCCTTTTTATATGCTGACTTACCTAACATAATTTTTTTTTATATATCAGAGTATACAGCACATTCTCAAGTTGCAAAATGAAAAAATTATACTAGGTTCTCAAACATTTTGGCAAATGCGCCCTTTTTCACCCTAAGTCAGAATGTCATTCCCCTACTTTCCAAGATTGTCCAACTCAAAAGGTGCATTCCTAATATAGATTATTGAAAATCTTCATTCTTTTCCATTTGAGTACATAGCAGTAGTATTTGTGAAAATTTCATGGTTTTTCTATTTTAATATCCTGATGAATCTTAATTCTTCAGTTAATGACTGAATAAGATCAATACGTCGATAAAATATCCGTAGAAATTCCCTTATCGCATTGTTAAAACACTCAATGAAACTGACCTGTTGCAATCTACCTTTCTACCTAGGCATTCATTAATGGTTTTTACATACCAATAATGTTCACTAGACATACACATGAAAATTTCATGCTTGAATTTTCTGGTGGATTCTTCAGCTAACTAGCATACGTAGATGACACAGTGTTGATAAAAAGCTACAAAACCTCCTACTGAAAGTAGTGAAAGAAAGTGAGAAGAAAGGACTAAACATCAAATGCAAGACAAAATACATGGTCGTCAGCAAAAGGATGAGCCAAAAATGTAAATTGGAGATACCAAAATCAAATAAGTGCGGAAATTTAAATATCTGAGAAGTGTTTTAAAAATATAAAATGGCAGCAATTTACACTATCTACATTATTCGGACTATTGCCCTCCTCTTTGTCGCCATATTTATTACAACGTTTTGTATGCTCTGGCCTTCTTCAGGTGGTTGGAACGTTGAACTGAACGCTCACTGGGGTAGACTATTCTAGTCCCACATGCCATGTTTAATGGATGTCAGTTATCAGTTATCTCCTGTTAATTCCCCTCTTCAAGTTCTCCACTGCCTTAACCAGGTATTGAACTCACACTCTTTGGGTCCTGTCAAAAGTGTTGGTTAGATCCAGTGATAACAGTGAATGCTGGTTGTTATTTTAAGAAGTAAGGGAGTACAAATGAAAAGATTTGAAATTGATAACTTTTGCCATTTCACTGAAACAGCTGTTAGTGTCTTTTTCCCTCTTTCAATTCGATCAAAATGGAATAGTCTATTATTTATGAAGAATTTTAAAGGCATAACGGTCGCACGGACTAACAATGAAAGAAACAAGAACAAGTATAATAGGATACATTTACATGGATAATTTTTATCGAGGAGTTTTTTTTTTTTTTTGTTTTTAACAATTATGACGGATTTCAAATTCTGTAAATAAATAAAAACAGAAAAAGTAAAGATTTCTCCTCACTGAAATACCCGTGGGGGGAAGGGGAGAGGGGGCATTAGTGCTGGTTGAATACTAGAGGTTCCTGGTATGCATTAGTTTGGATTTCTTCAGATAGTTGCTGAATTCTCTTAGTTGTAATGAATATATAAAGTTACTGGTTATGGAATTTGTTATCCCTCTTAGTTTCAAACCAGCTGAGTTATTTATAGTTGACTAATGTTTTCAACATAAGAAAAGGGAGGGAAAGAAAGAAAAAGGGAGGGAGGGAAAGAAAGAAAGAAAGAGAAAGGCAATGAGGGGAAGAAAGAAAGAAAAAGGGAGGAAAGAAAGAAAAAAGGGAGGAAAAGGGAAAGAAAAGGAGGAGGGAAAGAAAAAAAAAAAGAAAAGGAGGAAAGAAAAAAAAAAAAAAGGGAGGAAAGAAAAAAGAAAATTGGAGGGAAAGGAAAGAAAGAAAAAAAGGGAAAGAAAAAAGGAGGGAAAAAGAAAGAAAGAAAAAAAAAAAAGGGAAAAAAGAAAGAAAAAAAAAAGGAGGAGGGAGGAAAGAAAAAAAAAAGGGGAGGGAAAGAAAAGAAAAAAAAAAGAAAAAAGAAAAAGGGAAGGAAAAGAAAGAAAAAAAAAGAAAAAAGAAAGAAAAAAAGAAAAAAAAGGAAAAAAGAAAGAAAAAAGAAAAGGGAAAAAAAAGAAAGGAAGGGAGAAGAAAGAAAGAAAAGGAAAAAATAGGAAAAGAAAGAAAGAAAAAAAAAAAAAGAAAAAAAGGAAAAAAATAAAAGAAAGAAAGAAAAGAAAGGGGGAAAAAAAAAAAAAAAAAGAAAAAAGAAAGAAAAAAGGGGAAAGAAAGAAAGAAAGAAAAAGGAGGGAAAAGGGAAAGAAAGAAAAAAAGAAAAAAGAAAGAAAGAAAAAGGGAGGGAAAAAAAGAAAAAAAAAGAAAGAAAGAAAGAAAGAAAGAAAAGGAGAAAATTTTCAAAAAGAAAAGGGAGGAAAAAGAAAGAAAGAAAAAAGGAAAAAAAAGAAAGAAAAAAAAAGGAAAAAAAAAGAAAGGAGGAAAAGAAAGAAAGAAAAAAAGAAAAAAAGAAAGAAAGAAAAAAAGGGAGAAAGAAAAAGAAAAAAAAAAGGAAAAAAGAAAGAAAGAAAAAAAGGGAAGAAAAGAAAAAAAAAAAGGAGGGAGGGAAGAAAAAAGGAAAGGGAGGGAAAAAAGAAAAAAAAAAAAAAGAAAAAAAAAAAAAGAAAGAAAAGAAAAAAAAAAGAAAGGGAAAGAAAGAAAAAAAAGAAAAAAAAAAAAAAGAAAAAAAAAAAAAAAAAAAAGAAAGAAAAAAGAAAAAAAAAAGAAAGAAAAAAAGGAGGAAAAAAGAAAAAAAAAAGGGAAAGGGAAAAGAAAAAGAAAGAAAGGGGAAAGAGGAGGAAAAGAAAGAAAAAAAAAAAGAAAAGAAAAGGAAAGGAAAGAAGAAAAAGGAGAAAGGAAAAAAGAAAGAAAAGGAGGAAAAGAAAGAAAAAAAGGAAAGAAAAAAAGAAAGAAAGAAAAAGGGAGGGAGGGAAAGAAAGAAAGAAAAAGGGAGGGAGGGAAAGAAAGAAAGAAAAAAAAAAAGGAAAGAAAAAAGGAGGGAGGAAAGAAAAAAGAAAAAGGGAAAAGGGAAAGAAAGAAAGAAAAGGAAGGGAGGAAAAAAGAAAGAAAAGGAAAAAAAAAAGAAAGAAAAAAAAGAAAAGGGAAAAAAAAAAAAAAAAAAAGGAAAGAAAGGAAAAGAGAAAAGAAAAAAAAAAAAAGGGAGGGAAAGAAAGAAAGAAAAAAAAAAAAAAAGAAAAAAAGAAAAAAAAAAAAAATAAGGGAAAAGAAAGAAAGAAAAGAAAAAGGGAAAGAGGGAAAGAAAGAAAAAAAAGGGAAAAAAGAAAGAAAAGGAGGGAAAAGAAAGAAAGAAAAGGAAAAGGAAAAGAAAGAAAAAAAGGGAGGGAGGGAAAAAAGAAAGAAAAAAGAGGAGGGAAAGAAAGAAAGAAAAAAAGGAGGAAAAAAGAAAGAAAGAAAAAGGAAAAGGAAAGAAAGAAAGAAAAAGGAAAAAAAAAAAAAAAAGGGAAAAAAAGAAAGAAAAAGGAAGGAAAAAGAAAGAAAGAAAAAGGGAGGGAAAGAAAGAAAGAAAAAAAAAAGGAAAAAAAAAAGAAAAAAAGAAAAAAAGGAAAAGGAAAAAAGAAAAAAAAGGAGGGAAAAAGAAAGAAAAAGGAAAAAAAGAAAAAAAAAAAAAAAAGGGAAAAGAAAAAAGAAAAAAAAGGGAGGAAAAGAAAGAAAAAGGGAGGGAGGGAAAGAAAGAAAAAAAGGGAAAAAGAAAAAAAGAAAAAAAAGGAGGAAAAAAAGAAAGAAAAAAAAAAAAATAGAAGGAAAAGAAAAAAATAAAATAAAATAGAAGGAAAAAAAGGAAAGAAAAAGTAAAGACGCAAAGAAATGAAAAAAAAAAAAAAATGAAAAGAAAAGAAAAAATGACAACTTCACTTACTGGTTTTCCCACTTGGAACATAAAACTGAGCAATAGAGATGCACTTCTTTTTCATCCAGTTTTCAAGTTCAGTTCGAATGCGGGGAGCCAGAGAGTCAAACTAAATTACAAAAACAGAAATTAAACAAAAAGATCCAAAATGAATTTAGATTCTTGGATCATTAAATGACAAAAAAGGAATCCAGTTAGGTGATATTTAGTATTTGATGATTAAAGGTTATGTTGGGTTGGGTGATTTTACAATAGGTCAATCCTTGCTGCATCTTTTTCTATCATGTGTAGGATGTGCAGGTGGTGTAATCAATAGCAGCTCAGAATGAAAAAGCAGAGAGCCAAGTTCAAATTCCAGTCGAGTTAATTACATTGACTTACATTAAAAATACCTCGAGAAAGGCATGAATCCATCTCTTCTTACCCCACTATGGGTTAAATAACAAAGCAGGTGTGGTTTTCTAGCTGTGGTTGGCAATCAGTCAATTGATTGCATATCAACTCTTTACAAGTCATTTAAATGCTGAAAGTTAATTTTCTTGAGAGCTTTAAAGCAATTTCATAATTTTACTATAAATATGTATTGTTGGTATTTTTACAATAAAAATGTATTTTTGTTTGGGGGTTCATCATTTGCCCATAGCTGGAAGTTTAACCGGTGCTAACACCCTGGGTCAGAGTGGACCTGGGAACAACAGCAATCTAGAGATGGTTCCAAGCATTGCTAAACCTCCAAAACCCAGATCAGAGGCCTTGCTGCCAGAAGGGTAGACGTGGGAACAACAGCAATTATGAGGTGGTTCCACATTCCTCAAAACCTCCAAACTCCAGATCAGAGGCCTTCCTGCCAGAAGGGTAGACGTGGGAACAACAGCAGTTAAGAGGTTGTTTGACACGCTTCAAAACCTCCAATCTCCTGAACAGAGGCCTTCCTTCCTGAAACATAGACCTGTGAACAACAGCAATTAAGAGGTGGTTCCACACACCTCAAAACCGCCAATCTCCCTGTCAGAGGCCTGTCTGCCAGACTGGTGGACCTGTGAACAACAGCAATTAAGAGGTGGTGCCACGCTCATCAAAACCTCCAATCTCCTGACCCGAGGCCTTACCATCATCATACTCAGGACTAGTTAATCAGTCAAGGAGAAGGACAACTCTGAATTCAAAGCTATACGTGGCCCTGGGACCAAATCACAAGTTGCTTATATTGGTAGAGAATAGCAGCTAAAAGACACCCCTGCCAGGGTGACAGTGAAGACATCAGCAACAGTATGTTGGATATGGTCAATGGCAGAATCTAACAGATTAGAGCATTTACATTGAACTGCAATGGTGCCATACTAGATCCTTCATACAGGACAATGGAGGAGACCTAATTATTAAACACAGTAATGCCATATGTCTCCCCTATCATGACACACGTGGACATCCCCAACGAAAAAACTAGTTTTTTATCATATTTGTGTCTATAAGCATTTATTTGGTTTGGAAATAGATAAATATTGTTTGTTTATATTTATAAGCACTTAGTAAGTGGCTGCTTTTTTTTGGAGGTGAGGTGTCTTATCACGTTGACAGGAGATGCAGTTGGTATATCTTAGGCTCCAACAACAGGGCAGTTAATTAAAGAAATATAGTAACATTTTTTATGATCAAGTATCAGATGAATAAAGGAGCTACACAACTAATGAAAAAATTATATAACAAATCACTTTGTTTGAATTTTCTTGATGAAAAGGCATTTGATTCAGTAGAACACTCAGCAGTCTATAACTCAGTACAAAGGAAAAGTACACTATTTACATCATTCGGCCATATTTATCACAACTTTTCGGATCTTCAGTATCAGTCTATATTTCTGAGATTAGGTATTATGTACACTATTTACAGAATGTTGCCAAAGAATCTCACTTGGCACAAAGATGGCATGTGGTTATCAATGATGGAGATGATTGAAGGTACTTGAAAAAAAAAACAAAAAAAACAATAGAACAAGAACTTTGGACAGCTTGTGTTGTACACTATTTACATTATTCGAACTATTGTCCTCATCTTTGTCACCATATTTATCACAACGTTTGGGCCGTTGTACACTCTGACCTTCAGGTGGTTGGAATGTCAAACTGAACCCTTTATTTCGCTCACTGGAGTAGACTGTTCTAGTTCCAAATGTCAGTTATCAGTTATTTCCTGTTAATTCTCCTCTGAAAGTTCTCCGCTACCTTAACCGAGTACTGAACTCACACTCTCTGGGTCCTGTCACTGGATCTAACTAACACCTTTATCAACTGTGCCATGTATCCTCAAGGACACATGGCACAGTGGGTAAAGGCGTTCAATATCCAGTTAAGGCAGTGGAGAAAAAAAAATAGTCACAAAACATTGTTGATTTAATTAAGAAGGAATGATCTATTATGACATATCTCTAATTTGTATTTAAGATACATTATATTTAATGTTCAATTTTTATTCTATATTGCACATAATTTGGTTACAATAAAATTTTATGACAATCAAGATGTAGTAGAGTGAGGAGCACATATAGATTCAGGGGAGGCACAGGCCCTGATAGTAGTGAGAGAGAAAAAAGCAAGAGCGAGAGCGCACAAGAGGGAAAGAGAAAGAGACAAAGCGAGAGAGAGAGAGAGAGAGAGAGAGAGAGAGAGAGAGAGAAAGAGAGAGAGAAAAGTAAGAAAATTTACTTAATAAACCGAATAAACTTTTTGGCCAACCCCATATATAGTTATATTAGTAAATATAAACATAATATCCAACGTCAATAACACTACTCAACAGTTAATGCCATCTTCAGGTGTGGATTCTGTATATATATATATATATATATATATATGTGTGTGTGTGTGTGTGTGATTATTTCACCCTGTTCTTTTCTTCTTCTTCCTATTGAGAATTTTATCAGTTACACTTAACCACTGACAATTATTCTACAATATACCAACATACATATATTTATATCATAAGCTGATTACACTGAGACCCAAAAGCCATTCTTTTTGTTTACACAAAGGCTTTTTTTTTTCTCATTTTACCCCAAGCAAAGTGATAATGCCACTAAGACTGGAGGTAAAAGAAAATGAGAATACTTTAGGAAAAGGGATGAGAAACTCAGTACTAAACAGAAAATAAGGAACAAAACTCAACTCCTGCTCAAAAGACATGGAAGGTATGTAAACTAGGTGTTTAGATTTTATAAACCATGGTCTACTAAACTTTTGCATAGAAGCCTGAATGTGAATAGTTCCACACACTGAACATAACCTCATAGTAAGCCAAAGCACATTGCCAATTATTAAGAAGATGTTTGGAGTTTGAAGACCTGGATATACCAGAACACTTGTGCAAATTTTGATGCTGGCCTTCATAAATGTATGCTGACACATAATGAGAAATTCTCTTCTCTGCTAATTCAGTGATCCTCCTTATGTTGTCAACCTCTCACACTGACACACAGATTTTTAGATAATAGAACTAGTTTAGTAGACAGGTAGGCCATCTTTATAGATGAATTTTAACATTGTGATATGAATTAACAGAATTAGTCTTTTCATAACTGCATGAAAATATTTTGCATGTAATACAACTGAAATACCAAACAAGGATTTAATTCAGGTATGAGAAATTAGCAATAAAATTCCTGTCAGCATTTGGAAAAACTTCATAATTTCCCCACCTTGTGGCGTCTTTGCAAATCTTCAGATGTGAGTCCAAGCAGTGACACGTCCGTTTCTGTACTTGGTGACAGGTAAGGCAGAATTTCACCAATGGTTACACATTTACTGAACTCTTCATAAAACTGAGGAAAAAAAAAAGGATGTAACTTAATATTGTTTATATAAGCTTGCATTTGTTAAACACAACGAAACCAATTAAGTTTATTCATAACTGCAATAAAAACAGATATTAAAATCCAAAAACAGGATAGAATAACAAATGATGAGAAGCAAATCAAAACACACAAAAAAAGATTAAATAAATTTTCAAAATGGCCTCTCCTTTTTGGGAATTAATAAAGATAACATTCAAAATAGAGATTTTACAAGTATTTTCATCGTTGCATTCTATAAGACATTAAATAGCACATATATATTGGTCTTTTCTAATTGGGCTTCCCTTCTTGAGAATTAATAAAGATAACATTCGAAAGCGAGATTTTACAAGTATTTTCATCATTGCATTCTATAAGACATTAAATAGCACATATGCATTGATCTTTTCAAAATGGCCTTCCCTTCTTGGAAATTAATGAGGATAACAAGCACAAAATAAATTTTACAAGTATTTTTCATCATTTCATTCTATAATAACACATATGCATTGGTCTTTTCAAAATGGCCTTCCCTTCATAGGAATTAATAAAGATAACAAGTGTAATAGAGATTAGATGTTAAATAATGCAACAAATCTGAAATTGAAGAAATTAAAAAAAAAACTTATTTTTAACCAAAATGGCCTTTAGATTGGTGTTAGATGTCAAATGAAAACATTTTTTATCCCGCAAATTGGAATAGTATGTCCAAAACGGAGGTATGGTGGAGTAATAGATAGCGGCTTGGACTGAGGAATCTGAGATCCGAGTTCTAATTCCACTCAAATCCATTACATTCACTTTCGTGCTAATACCCTTGGGAAAGGTATGAATCATGGCGTTCTATACTCCAGGCCAAGTCATGGCGCAACTGAGAGCCAGAACTGGAGGCCTATTGAAAAATGTAGGATTTTCAGAAATTTTAGAAGAAAATGAAGATTAATGAAAATTATGAAATACTTAGAATAACATTTTTTATTCACACCTGAGGATAATAGGATGTGTTGAAAGATAAATAAATGAAAATATGTATTTTTGCTATGAACACTGATAATTATTAAACAACACAAAGGGGTAATTATGATTTCTGGTAAAAGATATATTGAATCAGAAGTTTATATTATTTACAGGTGTCACTGAATCCTTTATTCAATCTATTCCCTGTGAGTGAATAAAGACTTTGGTTTAAATTTAAATTTTTTCTGATCTAGGTGTGCCATGTTTGCAAAAATTTTTCAAAACTATATTTGCAAAAATAGAAGCATGCTTTTTCTCCATGTTGAAAAAATGAAACTCGGAAATAAGCATAAAAATGTTACTTAATGATTTATAGCAAACCTTTTCCTTTATTGTATGGAAAAGGATGAAACAAAAAAATAACCATTGACAAGTGTGGTCAGAAGGAACTTTTAGTTTTCCACGGTCAATTAAATTGGTATATTTTCCATACTTTTCATAATAAAAATGGGTTTCACATTCACTGGGTTGATTATCATTTCTTGTAATATATCCAGCTATGTACACAAGAGCTATTTTTATTTCATTGGAAAGAGATGGTTCTAAATTTTCCAGATTGTCAAATATTTCTAAACCTTCCTCACAAAGTTTATAATCACAAGATGTACATTGGTGACCTGGATTAACATCAAATTCACCAATATTTACATTTTGATTTAAAAGTAAAGATGTCTGCTTAATATGCAGCTTTTCAATACATTGTTGAACATTTATAAAATAGGTGCCAATTCTTTTTCTAATGGATCAGTTGAAAATTGCCCAAGTAATACATATTTATGACTTGTAGCTAAAAGGTGTCGACATAGACTAACAATTCCATTGCAAGTATGATGTATGGCAGTAGCAGTGTTTTGGGATAATTGTTTTTTACGATTACTTTGACTGCCAGCGATATTAAGAGCCATTTTACCAAATTCAATGATAAAATCAAGTCGGGTGTCATTTGGAGATTTGATTTCAGCTTGTAGAGGATCATTATGTAATTTGTCAATTTGAAGGCATTTAACATTTAAAATTTTTCACCATGTCAAAACCTTGTTTATGAAGAGGGCAGTATCATTCTTACCTGCACTTATTTCAGACTGAGTGAGAAGTGCATTATAAAGTTAATGTTTATTATCTTCAGTTAACCAAGGTTTTTCAGGAAGTGTAGGATATAATTTAAAAAAAGCTTGATTTATGCGGTTGCCATCACATATAATAGCTTTTACATCAGCTGGTACAGATGTGATGGCTTGGACTGTTAACTCAATTTGTTCAAATATAAAGGCAGATGTTAATTTTGAAATTGGAATCAATTTTGTAAGAAAATTTGGACCCCCATTGAGATATATCAACATTATACCAAGTACTGTTTGAGCAAGTACAGATGGATTGTCAACTGATTTACCAAATAGTTGTTTGCCATGATATAGCAACATCTTTTTGATATATACTTCATCATAGAGAATTATGCACCCTTTTTGACTGGTATTAAGAGTATTAAATATAGATAACAAAAAAGATTTTTCATTAAGTTTTGAAACTTTTGACGTCATCCTTCATAATGTTGTTAATGAGGGTAATTGAAAATCATATCTTAATTCATTATACAATGTCTGTGATCTTGCATAGTACCCAAAAGCATGCACAACTATATCTGAGCTGTATTTTATTCCAACCATTTTAGGAGCCATTGCTAAAAATTGTTGACTCAGGATATTTTTCTTGTGATCAAAAGCTATAGAATTTAAATATCGGATGATTTCTTCTAGTTTTGAGCAAGTATCAACTGTATTTATATGATTTTTGGACAGGCTGCTAATATAACACTTAACTCCATAATGAAATGTTTCAAAGTGGAAATTGTTATAAATTTTCAACATAAAGAGAGGAATACCATCAATAAATTTTGATAATTGAACAGTTAAAATATTTTCATCCAAAAATGCTACAACTAGACATATAAAGTCTTTTTTGTTGTTAAGCAGACTTTCTTTCAAATTTGTATAATTTTATCTAATTCTAAAAAAGCATTAAGTTCATCGGCAATTTGATTTCTAACAGTACTGGAGGTTTTTTTATATTCCTTTAAACAGCTGAGGGTGTTGGTATTTGACTACTTGGCACACCTGGCCATACAGATGGTGGATTTTTTGGACGTATTTTTCCATTAACTTTTATGGTATCAAAATTTGAAGGCCAATGTTGTTTACTTTAAAACTTTATATTAAATTTAAAAAACATTCATAAGTAGCCTTTCCTTTAGTTTGGTTATTTTAATACGCTTTAAACTATATAAATAGGAATATATATAACTTTTTTTTACCTTAAAGCAAAACAATTAAAAGTAAAAAAAATGCATTTTGTCCTTTAACAACAATATCAGAAAAATATTAAAATAAATATGATAAATAAAAAAAATGGTACTTGTCTTGTAAAATAAATTTTGTAGTCAAAAGGCGTAAAAAAGGAGACCTTTCTAAAAAAAAAAAAAAATAATAATTAAAATATTGACATTAACTGCATGTAATAAATTTATTATTGTTATTTTTTCTTTAATTCTAATAAGTAAAAAAATACTTACAGTTCACCAATTGGTAACTAATGTAGTAAAAATAATCATTTATTCTTTAACTTCGGAAACAAAAGCGCGAAGAAATTCGTTTGTTTTTTTGTTTTTTTACTTTTAATGGAAATGTTGGATAAAGTTTTAATAGAGAAAAGTTAATGAACCTTTCTCTATTAAAATTTTATTCAACTTAAACTTTTAATAGAAAAATGTTGACTTATGCTAATTTTTTATCATGGTTAAAAACTTGAGAAAATTAAACTTTAATTTCGTTGACGTTATGTTTTAGTTTTCACTCATACTAACAATGTTTTTTTTAGCGATATCAAAAATAAATATCAAATTAAGTAATGACATTGAATTTATGAAAAAAAAAAAATTTTAATTCATTTTATAATAAAAATAGTTTTCTTTACGTCTTTGAAGAGATTAAATTAAATTCTGTTCAAATTTGTTAAACGTTGTTTTGTTTTGCTTCTTAAAATAACACAAATTACTCAATAAATAATTCTTTAAACTTTAATCAAAAAATGTTGAACTAACTTTAAGAGGGAAAATGCCAATAATGAATTAAACTTTAATTTAAAAATGTTAAGGCTTTTTAAACTTAAGTAAATCTTTTTGTGCGAGTAAATTTAAGCACCAAAGTTTACTTTTTACAATTTAAATATAAATAATGTACGGACTCAAACTAAAATAATCAAATATACTTACTTCAAATAAATAAGTTAAATGATATTCCAACCAAAGGTAAAATTAAAAGATTCCTTTGAATTTCTCGACCCAACAACATAAGAGTACACAGTACGCAGCAGTTCGCTCAAACTGAAACTAAAACGATCTGTCAGCCGGCCTCCAGTCTATCGAGGTAGCGGCGTTATGCAGTGGCCTGTTAATATAGAACGCCATGGTATGAATCCTCTTCTTCTCCCCTCCAGCTATGGGTAAACAGCAGGAGAGATCAGGTTCTCTAGCCTTGGATGGCAACGGGTCTACCGCAGAAAAAAATGGCAACATACTGCGGGAAAAAATCTTCCTCATCAGTCATGTATTGAAAGATACATGATTGCCTAAGCGTGTGTTACACACAGCACATAACTGACTGACTGATGCCCAAAAATGTGATTAGTGGGATAATTTAAGGTTAATTCAAAACATGATTACAAAAAAGTAAATAAAATAAAAATTCTGACCTTAAAGCAATATTAATTCTTTCTAATGTGCCTGGATGACATCTTACTAATATAATCTTATGTCTGTCTTCTGGTTTGTGGGTCAGGATGTAATTGCTATGTTTAAAGTGTTACAAGTTTATGAAAACATTTCAACAGGCAATTGAAGTCTCAAGTTGAAGAAACCAAATTTCTCTTAAAGAATTTTGGCAAAGCTTATATTAGGAATTCATTGAAACTTGTTCATAATTCATGAGTTGAAGTTGTTGTCTAGACATATATCCTGCTTTACTGTGGCAATGCTTTATTGGTTTTTTTTTCAAATAAGTTGTTCTGGAAATTATAACCTTGCGTTTATTATAGATGAAGAAAACAAAAGAGAAAAAAAGAACTAATATGATTTGTTAAATTTACAAAGTCAGTGTACCTTGTGGGTTACCTGACTTGGCTTCCTCAAACACCCTTTAGGTGGTGCTTTTTAAGTTCTATAAAAAGACAAACATTTCCTTCCTCTTTCTCACCTCTTGCTTCAAGATATAGCAGTATGTGTATGAGGTTGTCCCTGCTGGAGAAAGTTCTTTTCCCCATGTCAACTGACAACTGAATTCTTATGCACATGCATATCACATTCTTAATAACTAAGTTTTTTAATGTCTTGTCTTTTCTTTTCAACTGTGTACACATTAAAGTAATTTCTTTTGTTAATACATGCATCAATTCTTGTTTGTCTAAAATCCATGGTTTTGGGTTTTATTTTTACATGAGTCACCAAATATTGTTTGTGGGAAAAATATACTAAGAGCTATTAAATATTTACTGACTTGGTACAGAAATTAGTGCACTTTCTATACAATTTCACCTTAAGAAATCACTTCTCTTTTAATTAAAATTGCATTCTTTAAGATTATTTATTAATATTCAACCCTAACCCCAGAAAGAGTCATCGGGGTACTGATGTACTGAGCTGTCACTCATTCTCCTCCATCTGTTGTGGTCATGGGCCCAAATCTGGGTCTCCACAAATGGTTTCTTGGTATGCTCATCATGTGGCATGTCTTGTGCATTTTAATGTGGCAGAGCCCATCCCTCTCCGGGTTAGATCACAGCTGATGCTCTCCAACTTGGCAGCTCGCCTTGGTCGTGAATACATGTGGCTGTTGTAGTTCATCTGAGGAACCCTCCCGCACTGCCCAGTAACCTGTGTTGAGGAGGTCCTTCAAGCTGTGGTGCTGTGTTAACACCTCCCCGCCTCACATGAGTTTAGACTACGAGCTGAAATGGTTTACAGGAGGTATGGCCATTACATGAGAGATGGTTGAGGACCACAAAGTTTTTTTCTAATTAAAAATTCAACTTACCTGCTGATCTGATTCACTCAAATCTCCATCAAGAGCTTTCATCTCCCATTCAATAAGAAGTTGACGAGCTTCAGTAAGTAAAATCTTTTGTTGAAGCCACTCACGTTTTTCCCGCCAAAGCAAATCTTCTGCCTAGAAAAGGATTAAAAAAAAATCTAATAAAATAACATTATACAAATAATTTAGAAAGTAAACAATTTTTAACTTTGCTTTATATTCTGGTCATTATTTTTTTTTTTCAAAAGATTTAGTTGCGCAATAATAGGAGACTTTTATGATGAAACTTCAACACTTGATCAGTGATTAAGCAGAGATTGAGAAAACGACTAAACAATAAATGCAACTCATATTTTTTGACCAATCAAATTGAATTCAAATTCTAAACTAATATTTATGGACCAATTAGATTAAATTCTAAACTATTTTCTGAGCAAATTAAATTCAAACCTCCTATTTTTTGGCCAATCAAATTAAATTGAAATTCTTAGATCTATATTAACAGTCATGCTTGAGATCGGGGGGAGAGTACTGGCACACATTTGGCAGGAGAGTGACATGCCTGTCAAGCAGTTCTGAAGCCTCCATTTTGTATTGCCAGCCACAATGTTAAGATGAGTAGATGAGCAAGGAGTCAGTAGGGGTGAGGGAGTGGACATAGTAGAAGTTGTCCCAATTATCACTTACCTGGATGAGCAGGTGAAGCCCTGAATAAAGCATCTATTTTATAATATGATAAACAGGGTTTGAGTTCTTATTTCTCAATGTGGCCTTTGTCTTTCATCGTGTAACCTTGTGAGCATGCAGCACACTCTTCCCCAGCTTTCAGTGCACACTGACAAGATCGAGAATCAGAATGCAACACAGGCTAATCATTGGCTGGCAGGTGGAAAACTTGGGTGAGGGTCATGTCGTATGTTTACAATAGAGGATAACTTCATCCAGCAGCAAAGCCTCTGATCAGGATGTTTTTAGGAGCATGGAACCACCTCTTAAATGCGGTTGTTCCCAGCTCCACCCTGACTAAGGGCAGTAGCACCCTTTAGGGTCCCAGCTATGGGCAAATAGTGACCCCCCCCCCACAAAAAAAACAAAGTCACTATGAAAGTATAAAAATACATTTTTATATATATATAAAAAAAATTACCAGTAAGACATTTTTATATAAAAAAATGACCAACAATACCTATTTCATAGCCAAACGACCAACAGTAACTATTTCATAGCCAAACGACCAACAGTAACTATTTCATAGCCAATTGACCAACAGTAACTATTTCATAGCCAATTGACCAACAGTAACTATTTCATAGCCAATTGACCAACAGTAACTATTTCATAGCCAATTGACCAACAATATATTTTAACAGTGGTTGAAGGCATACAAGTGCATTTAAAATATATCAATTTCAGCATTAAACAACCCATAGATTCTGATATGCTGTTAAACAAAACCAAACCAACATGAAAGAATTACATTATGACATTAGTCAATATAATATCCTACAATTTCTTAAAGAAATCAAACTGTATTTCAAAATATAACTTCAATATATAAAACTATAAAAAATATATAAATATATAACTTTAATATATAAAACACACATCGCTACATCTAGTAAACATGTATATTCACAAAAACTAGGTATCATCTACCATGTATTCAATTGTGAAAGCAGAATAACATACCATTTTTATTACTTCAAAGCTTCCAAGAAAATTAAATTTCAGCATTAAATGACCCATAAGGAGTTGATATGCCGTTAAATAAATCAATCAATCAACAATAGAAGATAAAATAAAAAAAGGCAAATTGGGCATATCTAGACTCTAGGTAAAAAAACACATTTCCTGAATAACTGGCTGTTTGAAAAAAACAATCTCTCAACATTACTGCTAAATGTGCCTGGCAATTGTACTAATTTGCACAATAGTGATGCTTGGTTGTCAATGAATCATAGTTGATCTGGGGATGGGTGTGGGTACAGGTATATAAGACTGACATTTTTAAGTGCCAGAAGTCAGTTGATGCTGACAGTTTGGAGAGAACTACTCAGATTTATGGCTGTTAATTTTTTCCTACAAGTTTTTGTTTTTAAATGATGCGAATTACAGAGAGATTACTTTTCAAACAATTTCTTTATTTTCGATCAAAGATGTGGACTAATAATTGGCCATGGTTAAGTGGAATTGACAAAGTCCTAAGGAAACAATTAGGAAAGGAACAGGACAAAAAAATACTAAGCAAACAATTTTTATCACTTAAAACATTTTTTTTTTTAGTTGATACTTGTATTTCAGTAAGCACTTTGTATATTTATTAAACAGTATATTTATTTATTTTCATCTATCAGCCTGAATGTTTAAGAAATCTTATTTAAAAAAAAAAAAAAAAAAAAAATTGCAATTTCTGGCAGGATTTGAACCTGTGTCTTTCAGGGTAGAAGGAGCTACCATTAATCCTGGTATGCTCTAAACAACTAAGCTACAGAGAACAGTTGGTCAGGCAAGGCCAAATTTTGTGCCTTTAAATTAAATTTCTCTCATTATAAATCTGAAATTTTTCATATCTGCAGTTTCATATCTAAACGTAAACAAAGATAATTTGAGAATGGATTTTTTATCAATTGTAAGCGATCTTGGATTGCAAAGGAAATATTTGTCGCAGATTACTTCCACAACACAGAATAAATTGCTGTAAGTTCAGACTTAAACATCGGGGACAGAAAAAAATGCCGAAAACTCAATTCGCAGGTACTATCTCACAAATCACAATGCACGTAACCAGTCAGAAAAATAACTCACTCTACGACAAACACGGTAACCAAAAATCCCCCAAATTTTATTTTCTCTTTTGCTTTTTTTCAGCCGAGCATTTTTTTCATTCATTGACAACTGAGAGGACACCCAATTTTTGCATATCAAAATACTTTTATAGCGACTCCTGCAACTGACATGTTTCTAATTTAAATATTCCATCTTCAGCATGTCATGCAGAATACGTACGCTTTTTTTGGTAAGTAATTTTCTTTTTCGCCACATTTTCCATCGTAGGATACACGCAACAAGATGTCACTTAGTTTGACGAGGTAAGTCGCCGTTTTCTTCGCTATATTAATCTGACAGATTTTTATCAAACATTATTTTTTTAGTGGATACTTGTACTTGAGTAGGTGTTCCATTTATTTATTATTATTGTGGGACGCAGGTTCAAATCCTGCTGGAGAAGACAAATTTTCTTTGAATAAAAATTCTCAAGCATTCAGGTCAGCGGACAAAAATAAATAAATATACTGTTTAATAAATAAATGAAGCATCTACTAAAATATGAATATCTACAAAAGAAAAAAATAATAAAGTTTAAAGTGATAAAAATCTGTCAGATTAATAAAAAATTCATTCTAAGATACCCTGAGCAAACAATTTATATACAAGTCAAAACTATGCAAAACAACTGTAATAAGGCTAAAGTTCACAAAGTAAGAATTTATACACAAAAGGGATACAGTCAAGTGATTATACCATTCTGACTTCAAACAAAAATGCTGAGGGACAAGGGGACCAAGAATTTGTCCAAAACACAGTGGAGTAATGGTTAGCATCTCAGATTGAGGAATTGGAGAGCCAAGTTCAAATTCCAGTGAAGTTCATTGCCTTCACTTACATGCTAGTACAGTGTAACCCGGATATAAGAGAGTTGTCGGGACCGGAGAAGAAGTCTCTTATATCCGGGTTTGGTCTATTTTATATACATTAACACAGGCTCTAATTTGGGATCAGAGAAAATTTCTCTTATATCCGGGTTACACTGTACCCTTGGGAAACCTTACGAATTTATCTCTTCTTCTCAGCTATGAGTAAACATCAGGACAGACTGGCCCCTATAGCCTTGGTTGGCAACAAGTCTAGGAGAAGGCAAACTTTGAATTAAAACCACCTGCTGCTCTGCCTCTTCAACTTCTGAGAGGAAGGATGAGGTAACATCAGCATCCTTGATGTAAAATGAACCAGCAAGCCATTGAAGCACTTGAATGTCATCACAAACCACAATTGTGAGTAGAGGGGAGTGGTGACAACAATGGTGCAAAATGTGCTGAATAAAATGAATGATGATAAATTAAAGTTATTGGAGTGAGAAATTCAGGGAGAAGTGTGTTGTCCTTGACCTAAACTTGAGGGGAAGAGGAATTGAAATTATATAAGCAATAACAAAAAAACAAAAATCTTTATATAATTACCTCATTGATTTCTTTCTGGACATTGGTACTTATGCCACTGGGATTGATGTGTTTCGACAAGGCAAGCAACAAGTTGGCAAATTCTGGCATATTTTTCACATCATCTTCTGTGACACACACAGGCAGAGAATCATTGACTGAAATGAATTCAAATTAAATAAAATATTCAAATATTAGTTCTTCTATGTCCCATAACCCCTTACTATCCCTCCCAGTCCTTTTTTCCACCATCCATTTACACAAGCGAGCTAGGTAGGCTACGGTATCCCTGTGTCTCTTTAATGTTGTGTGGGTGTCAAATTTTACAAACTCTCTTCCTTCATTATGTATCCCAGAAATTTTAACACTTTTTGATTGCAAGTATCCTTTTTGTTAAAATTTTTCTTAAAACTTCTTCATTGCTCACATGCTCTATCCTTGATATTCTCAGCATCCTTCTGTAGAAACTATGTGTCTTTTGCTTCAAGTCTCCTCTTAATCTATGAGGAAATTGTCCAGCATTCACTGTCATACAGGAGGACTGATATTACATAGCAGTTGATTACTTTTTTCATTGTTTCTGTTGTGTCAAGTCTCCTCTTCATCTGTGAGGAAATTGTCCAGCATCCACTGCCATATAGGAGGACTGATATTACATAGCAGGTTAATTTTTCTTTTTTTTTTGTTTGTTTCTAACAAAATTTTCAGGTTTGTTAATACTTTTCTTAGCTTCTGCAAAGCATCCTCTGTTATTCCAATGTAACCTTGTATTTTAGTGTCACATTTTTCATTCACTGTGAAAAAAAAAACACTATCTAGATAGTAAAATTTTCATTTTTACTCATTTCTGATATTTCCAATTTATAGCGCTCACATTTTGAGCTGTTTCTCATTCTCTATAATTTCTGTCTTCTTAAAATTGATAGTCCTTTCATCTCACTTTCCTTTACAATGTTGTCTTGGAGACCCTGCAGTTTTTGTTCTATGCCTGTCATTAAAATGGTATCTAACTTTTTTTTTATTTTAAGACTTAACACACATCTTCAGGGAAGACAAAATGTTACAAAACATTGCTCAATTTGTATCAAGTTTTCTGTATCATCAAAAAAAATAATGGCCATATTTAATTTTGCAATTGCAAAATTACTTAAGTTTTACCATCATTGATTGATAGAACAGATAAACTAGCATTAATTGATGGCACACATAAAATAGTGCTACAAAATCACAAACAACACATCATTTGAAGACTTCCAAAAGGATCAACAACAAAAATGAGTTGCACATATAATAAAAAATTGAAAATAAAATAATCAAGTTGTTGACTTTCCACACTACCTCAAACAAAAGGATCGGAAGGAAACTCCGATCCATTAAAAAGAGCTGGAACATTTAGTGGACTCGAGAAATCTAATAATCTGGAAAATTGTTTTTTTTTTTGTTTGTTTTACTAACGGTCACCCAATACAAGGCCCAAGAGCCTCTCAAGGTAGAGGGATACTGTGTGGACATATATTAGTGTAGAAAAGAACAAGTGTGAAAAGTATAGAGCTGAAGCAGACTTTAGAAGGAACTAGAAACCCAATCATAAACAGAAAACCTCTACTCCTTTACAAAAGACTGGGGAAGAGTGTGAACTGGACGTTAGGTGAACCTGTATATGCCTATTGGTAGAGGAGAGAAAAAAAATTTAAATTGAAATAATGTTAGTGAATAAAATTTTACAGTGCAGAGCTGAAGTAGACTTTAGGAGGAACCAGAAACCCAAACACGAAATCAGGAACAAACCCCCTACTTCTGTTCAAAAGACTGGGAAGGAGTGTGAACCAGATGATAGGCAAACATATCTACTGCTATTGAAATTGACTTACCAAAATATAAAATTGACTGAATAGTTTGGTAAGAGATATTCCTGCTTTCTCATCAGTCTGAGAGTCATCCTGCAAATGGGTAAATGACCATACAACTAGGAACGAAACAGACAACACCAGAGAAAAGCAAGTTAACAAGAATGAAGATTTCTTGAATAAGGTTTCAGAAATTTCAACCAATAGTAGTGCTAACTGTTTGGTCAGTCAGTTAAGTGCTACACGTGATACACACTTGGACGATCATGTATCTTTTGATACATGACTGACAAGCTTACAGCACCTGGTATTTCCAAGCAGTCACCCATCTAAGTACTGACCAGGCTTGACATTGATTAACTTTAGTGATTGTACGGGAACTTTCCCCTGGGAAAGGTATGAATCCTCTTCTTCTCCCCTCCTATGGGTAAATAGGATAGATCAGTTGCTCTAGCCTTGGATGGCAACTTGTTGGGGACGTCGTGGTTGTTTAACGTATCAGAAACAATACAAGATTTATCCATTCAATTATTCATTTACAAACTGGAATAATATTTGTATGAGTTGCGTGCGTAAATTGTATGTGTATGCTGAAATGGTTAATGTCTCTTGTATCGTAATGTTTGCTATTTTCTTGTTTGTATCAAAGATTGTAATAATAAAATTAAGAGTTTTTTTGTAAAAGAGTTTGTCAAAGTAGTCTACCCTTAATCGTATTTTGTATTTGTATTCGCTTTTTTATTTCTTATTTTTTGTAATGATTATAAATCAATATGCATAAGAAATTAAGTGAAAAGTTTCAAGAGTCGTTAAATCGAATGTTCAAGTGAGTCAGTGAATGTTCTTTGAAAAGCGCGGCAAAATTATGGTTCAAACGTCGTGGAGTATTTAGGCAATTGCTCGGTGAGTTAGCTAGACTGACTGAATGGAGTTGGTAATTTTCTTTATCGTCTGGTCAGCGATGACTAAGACGGAGTCGGTGAAATGTTACATCTTGAAGGTTGGTAATTACAGCTACTCTGCTGCTCCGCTTCCACTGAATGGGGCTGTCTGCTTTTCCTTTATATATCCACCGGTGGCTCAACTCGTTTTGGCGCAATTTCTGTTTCTGTAAACGATTGACCAATGGAATTGCTTGCTTCGATTTTCGCCATTTCTATTGGTTGAGGTTTTTTAGTACGTAGGCGTACGATGTGGACTGTACCTTTTTTAGGTTAGAAAAGGTGAGGATATTGGATGAGTCCACAAACTGGTCTACCGCAGAAAGTAATAGCAACCAACTGTGGGAAAAAATCTGCCTCGTCAGTCATGTATCAAAAGATACATGATCGCCTAAGCATGTAACAAAAGATACATGATCGCCTAAGCATGTATCACACAGCATATAACTGACTGATATTAATAAATGACCATGGATCATGTTTGCATCAAGGATACAAAATTTTAAAGATTTTAAATTTTTTCATAGTTGAAACAACTTGTTTCAACTATGAAAAAATTAAAATCTGTTTTACTAATGGTCACCCAATACAAGGCTCAAGAGCCACTGATTTAAAAAAAAAAAATGTTGTTACAACAGATTTTTTTTTCAAATTATATTAAAATACTATATGCGTTTTTGTTGTTTTTTTTAATTTAATGTTTCATACATTGTCTTGCTTAGCCAATATTCTTTTCTCTTTAAACATATAGTATTACCTGACCATTTTCAAGAGGAATATTTATTATTTTCTCATCTCTATTTTAAAATGACTACAGATTAAATTTTTAAAAAATGAACAAATTCATTTTTTGCTTCAATAAGAAAAATCTAATCTAAAAGTAAGAGTTGCCTCCCTTAGATTTTCAACTAGTTGTTTTTATAGTTTTTGAATTAGGGATTTTTTTTTTTTTAATTAGACAAATTAAAGTTATACAAAAAAAAAATTAAAAAAAAAGGAAATTTTGCTAAAACCTTGGATTCTTTTATTAAATAAAAAGTGTAAATTATGCGCGTGGAAACTAAAGATTTATATTAAGTTAATATTTAAAAAATAATTTAAAATTTAATTACTTTAAATTAAAAAGTTCAAATAATTTGTTTGTTTGTTTGTTTTTTTTTTACATAAAAAATTCCTCTAGTATTTCCTCTTTAATGTCATGAATGTTTTGTTTGGACACATTTTTTAATTTTTACTTTATCATTTTTTTTTTAAGCGAATCTTTGGAAGTATCTACTAATTGAGATTTAAATAAACTTTTAGTTTTGTTTGAATAAATAATCTACTTAAAAAAGATTTAAATAAATTTATAAATATTTTAAGAACATATTACTTAGGAATCTGGCATTTTTATTTAAAAAGTTGAATTTGATGCTGAAGTGCAGAATAATCAAAAAAAGTAAACAATTTTTCACCAATGTCTACAAAATAAACTGAGATTTAAATTGTGACTAAGTGACAAAAAATAAATATTTGAAATTTGTCATTCATTACACTACAGCAATAAATTTCGAAGAAAACAAAAAATGATAGATACGAAATTTATTTCATATTTTTTCCTTTTTTTCAGTTTTTATCATCTAAAAAAAAAAAAAAAGTTTTCGTCATTAAATTAAAAATATGACTTTAAATTTAAAATTTGTGAGTAAAAAAAATGTCAATAAAAATCTTAAATTTAACAAACTCTTAAAATTTTTTCAAAAATTCTTCATTATCATTAAAAATATAACAAATAAAATTCAACCTACTCGTGTTTAACAGCGACATATCTTCAATATGAGGTGATGATTATGAAGGCTAAAATTTTTTTATAAAATCTAATGCTTTAGATTCGTTTTAAAACTGTCCGCGATTTAAAAAGTCTTCAACGATCGGCAAAGAATTCATGTTTAGCGGGAGAATCCATTAATTCAAAACGAGGCTCGACGTGATGCACGTTACTGTTTTATTAATAATTTAAACCAAATTACTGATCTTCGCATTTTTTTGACACCAAATAATTGAAATATTTCATTATTTGACGATTAATTTAAATAGATTGAAAAATAAAGCAGATTATGTCTTTTTTCTACGTGTTTGTTTTATCGTATCACACTGTACACCGATTTTTTTTTAATATTCTTTAACGATTCTTAAAATAAACTTTTACCTTGAGAAATTCTTAGGTAAAAGTGCATCATGATTATCAGCTTTTATTTTTAATGTGAATATGTCAAAAGAATGTGACTCAAGTCAAAATGTACAAGAAAAACAATTCATTTTTTAAATGAAAATTACACATTTGAATAATGACAGCATCTTAATTTATATATATAAAAATTAACAATTTTATAATAAATTTTTATAATAAATTAATAATTATTAATAATATATAAATTAAATTAATAATTTTATAAATTTTAAATTAATAATTTATAATAAATTAATTTTATAATCATACGCGATTAAAATAATTTTTTATATGAGTTAAAAAATAACTTTAGTACGAGTGCATAACGTTTGGACTTTACGTGCAAATATGTGAGCGCACATGATTGTGTGTGGATGCGTGAGTGTGTGTGTATGTCTGTGTGTGAAAGGCTTTAATCACCATATAAAGAACATTCTTCTTTTTTTTTACAGAATGGGTGCCCCTAACCCGTGTAATAATTGTGCTTAGTTTGATTTATAGCATATGTAAATGTAGGCTGAAAAAAATAAAATGTGGATTAGGAGTTAGTGGGGCCCCTATCAACACCCCCGTCCTCGGTTGGGTAGGCCGTGGGGTAGTACACGTGTAGAACATCGTCTCTTATTCTGAGTACAGTGTAACCCGGATATAAGAGAGTTGTCGGGACCGGAGAAGAAGTCTCTTATATCCGGGTTTCTCCTATAACCGGGTTTGGTCTATTTTATATACATTAACACAGGCTCTAATTTGGGACCAGAGAAAATCTCGCTTATATCCGGGTTTCTCTTATATCCGGGTCTCTTATATCCGGGTTACACTGTATTATGAATGATGGAAACAAAAAAACACAATACTCCAGTATGCAATTTGAAAGAAATTTACATTTATTATATAGGAAACGTATGTTAATCTAACATGTTTCACTTTTATTAAAGTTTCATCAGAGATTGTGAGAAAACAAACAAAAAGATAGAAAACATTGGTATTTTCAATTATGTCTGGGTCAGACACATGTCACATGCATTAAAACCATGGATAATTCTATGTGTTTTTAGGATTGAGAGGATTCTTGTATGTCTAAGTAGGCATCAGATGGTAATGTGTATTTGTAATTGTGTGCATGTATCTGTCTAGTGGGAGTTTTATCTTCACCTTTATGTGGTCACCCCACATAGCAGGGTGTCACAAGGTTCTAATTTATGGCTTGCTTGTGACTCTTCTATTCATGTGGAGTAGGAAGCCTAAAAAGCCGTTAACTTTACTTAAGAATTTCAGAATGTATATATCATTTAATTTTAGAATTTTACAGTATTTATAAAAAATATTGTGTTACTAATATAAATATATATATATTATATACAGTAAATACATAATTATACATGCACATGCATATATACAAATATTTTTTATGTATGTATACTGTATATGCATCATATGTATTCTCACACAGATACACTCACAAAGACTTGTGGGATCTTCCACAACAAACCAGCCTTACCTGTTTTTAGGAAATGCACTATTCCTATCTGATAAGTAACATCCTACTTTCATGCAAATAACAACAAGTATTCATTGGTCAATCACCTCCAATCTAGCTTGCTGATTGGTCAGTTCCGACCAATCTAACCGCCTGCACGCGACCAATCTGTTTTTCCCACATTCTTCGTTTGAGCCTCCCACGTGGTACACGATAATTATATAAACCGAACATATGTGAACTTTTTGAGTAGTTTTTCATTCATCTCTCTCGCACGTCTCATTCCTTGCTACCAAGTGCCAAGATGTAACCTTCAGGAACTCCCGTCTTAGTCATTGCTGACCAGACCTTAAAGACAATTACCAACATTCACAAACTCTGAAATCACTCCTGAACTTTTACCAACTTTACAAGTCACAATTCCAAACTTTCTTAATATGAACTCCGGTACAACTAATACCTAATCAAAGGGACACGACTCTGTCCTACCTTTTCAGTTCGCATGCATGTACATCAAACATTAATAAATCTAATTGTTATGTTTTGGAATCATTCAGTTCAGTTTTGTATTTTGTTCTATGTGCTATTTATGTCAAGTATAAATAAATAAATTGCATTGCTTTCCCACATTGTCCTGAATCTCATCTTTCCTAGCCAAAGTTAAATATTGGTAACACATATTACTACCTATATTGGCAACCATATCGCTACAGACTCACTAGAAAAGAAATTCACTATTAACAACTCATTCTCAAATTTCACACTTTAAAAATCAAATTGCCTCCCCCTATGGGTTTGTGTGCCCCACTTTGGGAACACTGAGATTAAACATTCTGTGACAAAAATTTACAAAATACAGTGTCAAATTTGATGTTGTCAAAAAACAGTTAAATTTAAATTACAAATGGGCACAGTTTAATTACACAGTGATTCTTGAGTTTTTAACCAAAGGGGATAAAAAATGTAAACCCCCTAAGAACTTGGTTTTGATCCAATTGGAGTCACTTGTTTGCTATTATTACAAGGATGCATTTCTATAGTAAGGGATTCTACAGAGTCCTACTTGTTAATACGAAAAAGTTTTCATTCATGAAGTAGTTGTAAAATAGAGAAATTAGAAATAGAATGTTTGGAAGATTCTAGATCATTCCAGTATATTCAAGGAAAATCTAGATGATCCAAGAAACATCTAGAAATATGCTAATTAGGTGCTAGCCCCTATAAATAGGTTTTTGGAAAAGGGTTGTCAGTTGGTGAAAGGAAATTTCTGCCAGTATCAACTCCGGCATTTTTGATTCAAGGATTATTATATCCAGCTGAAAGAATCTCTATGAAAAGTTGCCGACCAACAAAACCCCCAAAAAAGAACCACATGGAACAAATCTGGTAAATAGTTTTGACTATTTTCATTGACCAAACTACCAATTATTCAATATAGTCTCACATTTATGGATTTCCAGTTATTAGCACTTAGATTACTTCGCAAGCCCTAAAGTGGTAATAAGACTTGACCCCCTTTCCTTCTCCCTTGTAACAAGACTTGACTCCCCTTTCCTTCTCCCTCGTAACAAGATTTGACTCCCCTTTCCTTCTCCCTCGTAGCAAGACTTGACTCCCCTTTCCTTCTCCCTCGTAACAAGACTTGACTCCCCTTTCCTTCTCCCTCGTAACAAGACTTGACTCCCCTTTCCTTCTCCCTCGTAGCAAGACTTGACTCCCCTTTCCTTCTCCCTCGTAACAAGACTTGACTCCACTTTCCTTCTCCCTCGTAGCAAGACTTGACTCCCCTTTCCTTCTCCCTCGTAACAAGACTTGACTCCCCTTTCCTCCTCCCTTGTAACATTTCGCCTGTAAACTCTGTGTTTTCTGTTTTTGTATGCCACAATTGTATATCTTGTATATATTTTATGTTGTGTTTTAGTAAATTAAATATTTGTTTGTGATTTAGCTCTGTGTTTTGGTAAATCAAATTTTTTTCCTTTGTTACAATTTCCAACATGTAACACTATATAAGAGGAAAAATTCTGACAGAAATGTTTGAAAGCAACAGATTATACTCAGGTAAAAAGCTGTGATCTGGAACCAAAATAGATTTGACCACCTGTCCGAGAAAGCAGTGACCAGGTGGAGAAAGACTGCTACTACTACTAATGTTGTTGTTGAGGAAGAAGAAAGACAAAAAAAAATGGGGAAAGAAGAAGAAAAAAAAATTTGATATGCAAATGTCTTTTCTAAACCTATGAGTTTTATCTCATATAAAAATGTCTTTTTTTTCTAATCCTGTAAGAGTTTATCTCATTCAAATGTCTTTTCTAAACCTGAGAGAATTGATTTCATATTTGAGAAAACCTGTTCCAAAACCCTGAATATTTTATCTAAAGGAACCAGTGAACCAATTTCACTCCGGGTTGACCACATTTTCTTCCCACTATTTCAACCATTGACATCTTATATTGTGAACTAAATAGTAAATTTCTTTTGTTGCTAAGAAATTGATTTATATGGATTGTTGTTCTAAAAGAAAATTGTGGAAATTCTTTGTTGTTAAGGAAAAAATTTGTTTCCCACAGACTTAGAAAACAGATTGTATTGCAAAGAACTGTTAATCTGCCTTGATAGTTTGGGGGAAACAAGAGAAATTTTTATGCAAGGCCTATATTTCATTTTGTAAAAATTATATGTTGTAAAAATATTTTGTCATTTTAATAAATGCCCGTTTTTTTTTATAAATTTCACTTTCACCAAGTCTTGTCTTTTTCATTAGTGCTTCTGAATGTACTTGGAAAAAAGGAAGGATTTCAAATCCTCCTTTAAAATTCACTCCATCTTGTTAAAATTCCAA